CGTAAGAATCAAAAGTTTATTGGCGACCGCGTCGCTTCTTGCCGCGCGGCAAGCGTTTTCGCGTCCTGTGTGCAGAAGCCATTAGGCTGAGTTTCCACTGAGCGCGTCACGCGTCGCGTCGTCACAAGTTAACCAATCAAAACATCCCATTTTATTACATTACTTGTGACGGGATCAAAATGGGATGTTTTGGGGTACGTTCCAAAACTCTACTCTGAGTAGCAGGGTTAACCCTACGCCGTTCCAAAACGCGAAGTAAGTAACTATATGGGCGGAGCCTATTCGTTCCAAAAGTGAGAGTAAAGTAACCCCGGAGTTAACTCTATGAACCCTGCTTCCGAGGTGGGTTAGGAGAGTAAACTCTACTAAATTTGAATATAAACGCGGGATCTTAGAACATATAAGCGCAATTGTCTCTATACACCGCGAAAACGTTGGCCGTTGCTGTGATAAGTAAGAGAGTATAATATTAAAATTAGATAAAGTATTTTATATTAGAATTAGAAATGATACTTTATTACCCGGGTCTGAAAGAGCGTTTTGTAGGGACGTACCCAACCCTGTACATTTATATATACATATAAAATAATATTATTTCCCGGCCTGGCCATTAAGCGACCTCACAAGATAAAGTATTTTATATATCACACATAATAAATGAGCATATTAATTTCTTTTTTAATGGTTTTTTAGTCTGTTTTAGAATTGAGAGTTACTTTAAAAAAAAGTAAAATTTATTAGGTTAGGTTAAGGTTAACTTTCAATCCTAAAACATTGTTGAAGTATCAGTATCATACATATATACAAATAATATTATAAATTTATATTATTGTTTACAAAGTATAAAATAGACAAAATGGATCTCACAGAACAGCAGTACACCCTTATAAAAATTTAATACTGTAAGTGATTTTTTGACTAGTAATTAATCACTTAAAAACACTATTAAAAGCACTGTTAATAGTGCTTAATCAAAAAAATGATTAATCACTAGCCAAAAAATCACTTACAGTATTAAATTTCTATAAGGGCATAATAATCGAAGGTGTAATATACAACATTACGACAACACCCGAGATGCATAAAAGAATACGAAATGGTAAGTTAAGTAGTAGAGTATTTCATTAAACTAATTTCATTAAACAGCTCGTTGAGCTCGTTGAGCTTCCATTTTATTCGTTGCTAATACTACTTTTTCAACGTTCCAAATCGTTCAACCAGAGTAACTTACTCTGGGCTTACTCTCTCCCCACTACCTTGGGTTCTTTAGAGTTGACGGAGTAGAGTTTTGGAACGTACCCCTGATTGGTTAACTTGTGATGACGCGACGCGTGACGCGCTCAGTGGAAACTCAGCCTTAAGGGCCTTGGCACATAGAAAAACTTGAGCAGTAAGCAAATCAGCCAATCAGAGTCAAGAACTTAAGGCACGGCCCTAAGCGGTAGCGAATCCATACCGTTGATTTCTTAGGCTGAAATCACATGGCATGTATTTTCCGCGTAACGCGTAACCAATTAGAAGAGCGTTTCGCATTTTCGGTTACGCATATTCGCGCTTCTGATTGGTTACGCGATACGCGTTACGCGGAAAATATTAGTCCATGTGACCGTACCTTTACGCTTACGCAAGTTACGCCGCATGTGACGGCACCCTAAAAGTCCACGACGCATCTAGTGATTTCACAGTCGACGGTCTACGCGTCTACGGGGTTCACTCGACTGACTACACGGCAACGGCAACGGCAGCCATTTCGACGCTTCTCGACGCTCTTTCACGCTCACGAATTCACCGGGACACGAGACACGAGGCACGAGGCTCTATTGCGTTCGTCGCGTTCACAAATTGTTATTGTTATCGTCGTTTATAATCAACGTTCTTCTTCATGAAACACCCCACTTCTCTATAGCGATTCGGTGAGTCGAACATTCTGGCGTGTCACATGCCGATATCTCTCATTTTACGATATATCTCGTCTCCTCCTTCCATTTCCCAACGCCAATAAATTGGATATATCGCAGCCCGCACTGTCCGCAGTCGAGAACACACGCGTATCATTCCTATTTATTATCCATTTATCATACATATTTCTCGAAACTCCTTTTCTGCATCGTAAGATTTTTTTCTTTTTTTGCCGCACCCACATGCTCGACAATCAACAATCCTTCAACGGATCATTCTCGTCTATTTACCAACAGTTTGTTCTTTTGTCGAAAAAGACGCTTACATGACGCTAGAGCATGTGTTAACAGGATGCATAAATCGTGCATAAACCCGTAAACCGTAAAACGGAACTAACGCGAGATACTTGAAGCCGGAGTTTTATTTATTTATTGTTAATATTGATAATATACATATTTCTTTGTTACTTGAGGCCCTTGAGGGCCAAGTACGCGTGAGCGTAGTGATACAGAACCAATCGTATATTAACATTTAAATATTTTAATAGTTACTACTTTGTTGCTACTCCGCGTCATTATGAAGTGGATGAAAAGAAAAAATGGAGTGTATGTTTAGAAGCCACGTGAAAACTCAAAAAACTTTGATCGATTTCTAACAAAGAAAGAAAAGAAGATTTTGAAAAAAGATTCCATAAACATTGTTGAAAGATAAATCTGAAAATTTACGAAAACAAATTAAGAAAATATAAGAATTTAATTGTGATAATTTTTAATTTTTATTAATTCCTGATATCAGTACATCACTAGAGTGCTACAATGCACCAGTGAATCCAACTAAAAATACTTGGATTTTTAATTAGGAAAATAGAAAGATGGAAATAAAGAAAATATGGTGCTATTTCAAGGCGAAACAGATACATCCATACTAGTGGAAGAAGTCATTTATATTTTTTGTTCAAATATTCGTGTCGCTCATCTAGCTGTAACATTCTGTTACTGTTTCTGATTTAATATTTTGTTTAATTTTCTGTTTCTCTTTTTCAAATATATAAACTTATTACAACGTATACTTAAAAGACAACGTTTAATGTAGTACAAGAATTTGTTGAAAGAAGTACAATATATAATTGTCATAGTTTTCCAATCATTACATTTTCCCTCGAACACTATCATTAAATATATGTAACGATTATAATATCTAGTAGTGTTGAAAATAAAAACATTTTGACAAATTATGTTTGAAGGGAATAAATTCAAGCTTGTAATTTGATAGATAATAACTGCCAAGAATAAGAAGGTGAATGCAGACGCAATTTATAAATTATTGTAAAATTGTTTAGGTACAGTGAGGGGGACCTTGATGTATGTTGCAGGGCTTTAGACGACTCGGTGTGTGTTAGGTGTCAAGGACAGATTTGGCCTCCTCGATGGATTTTGCACAATGATATGGTGCAGTTAACTTTTCTGCTTCTGCATTTCATTGTTCTTCGCTGATGAGTGGTTTGCTGCTTGGTCATCTTTGTTCTCAATCAACTCTTATCTTTCGTCGTTTTAGCTGAGAAAGAGAGAGAAAGAGAGAGGAAAAGACAGAGTAAAGAAGAAAGAAGTGTCTAAAGTCTAAAAGGTAATGCTAAATTACATAATAAATTTAGTTCATAATTTTTGGAAAGTGTTGTGATTTTACTACACAGGCAGATTTAATTGTCTATTATATTTCAAAGAGCTCTGTGAACGTCTATTTATATATATGTATCTCTTTCTCTACATTTATATATATATAAATATATTTATATATATATAAATTATGATTTTACTTTGATTATATACTCTGAATCTTACATACGAGGGTAAGTAATTTATAATCACAAATTTACAAAAAAAATAAAGAGATTTTTTAAAACATATTAACATATAAACAAAATGGATGACATGATCTATGTTTACATTTATACAATTTGTTTTTATATGTCTGCCGTAAAATATAATCTCCGACACTCCGACGTATTATTAAATATAAACTGAATAAAAGTCACGCAGGACAATATAATTTTTTGCACTGGAAATAAAATCATAATCATTTAATGTCTTATAAAAAATATCGATTAAATTATGTAATTTTATTCCTTCAGGAAAAAAATCAGGAAAATTTTCAAAACTTCTTTTATTTCAGATTGAGATTAGTCTTAAAAGAATAAATTAATATTTTTTGCAATATCTTATTATTAATTCAACATTCTTTTCATCTTTGTTAAAATTAACGAATATTTAAAGACTACAGCCATTTTTTACTCAGGTCTTTATTATATCTCGCGAAATGTACAACAGTTTTGTATATATATAATTTTAGGAAAATTATTACGTTTTTATTTTTTTTTATTTTAATTAATGAAAAAAAGGTAAGTTTTGATTTGATTTGATTGCAGTAATGTTATTATCTATTTGCTTTTTAAGATAAATAAAAAAAGAAAAATGTTTTATCGTAACATCAAAGATGTCAAGGATTTTGATGATATTTTCAAATTATAAGATACTCAAGGTGAATTCGACAGAATTTTAAATTAATATTAAGTTAGTATGATAAAAATTAATATTTTTCTATCAACTTTTCAGTAAGAAAGAATTGATTATGCTTTTATTAAAGGTCTATTATTATGTTATATTTTTTAATATAAAAATCTTGATATTCAAGTCAAGAGCAAAAACTAAATGTTAAAACTGTAAATGTTAAAACTACTACTGTTGGACGGAAATATTCACGGCGCTTAATTCTTCCCCTAGTCTCCCTCACGCGAAATGCAGTTTTATTACATGGTCTGTAAGAGCTGAGGATCATTGGTTCTTGTTTACATTTGATGCACTAGAATGTGTTACGATGACCATTGAATCATTTTCTATGCGCTTCGTTACTCATCACATTGAGATATAAAAATGTTAAAACTTATCTAACCAATGCGAAATTAAAAATTAAGCGTAAAAAATACTATAAACATGCAAAATTCCGAAGAATAAAAAGATTAATTAATATCTATTCGTAATTTAATGAAATGGCGAAGAAATTATGTTACAATTCCATAACAAACCGTATTAGTATCTTGCAGACGCGCATATATGAAGATATGCGATAAAACCTCTACAGCTTTTCTACAGTTTTCGTTCTACATACACGCTTACCTCTATGATATTTCACGTTAATATACATTTACCAAGTGGAATTATCATGACAAGTAGTGATCTGAAAATTTACCTGGTAAAATTACCAATTATCTGGATAATTACTGTTATCATCATTGTTATCTCCAATATATCATATACGGAGAAATAAAAAGTCGACTTGAAATACAACATTTTTCTCTCTATTCCATTGAACCGAGATCTTCGACTTCGACAACACTTGATGTCTAACAATTATCGTAAATAACGGTACGCTTTTGTTTTTATGTGATCTTAATGTATAGATCGATTGCGACATATATATATATAACGCAGGAAGAAAGCAGCAACGGATGACTGAAGTACGTTGGTGCAGCCGTGATTTATCGACTTGCTTCCATCGTTGCGAACACTTTGGAATCGAATTGCGCATGATGCATTTTCAGATGTATACGACGTAGACCGATTTTCTCGCTACTTGTTTCATACATACGCCATATGCACGCACATATATCGTCAAATATATCGTCAAACTGAGACTTGTTCCCTTTACCTTTTCTTTTTTATTTTGCCGTTTGCGACTAGTGCCGATGGAGTCTTTCAATATTTCTCCTTTGTTATATAATATAATAAACGGAATCTAACTACATAAGTGAAAAACAATATAGCTATGGTCTGGTGTGTTCAACGAAAGGAAATCTAAAAGCACCTCTATATTGACCTGGAGTGATCGCTGGTGAAAGAGAGAGAGACAGAGATACGAGTATACTATGTCATGGTCGTTCCAAACCAATTATAAATCGATGCAACTGCATATTCGGATTATTTGAACAAAAAGCTGGCGACTGCAGTTCTCACTGTTACACCTAGCTGGCCGATATATTGTATATTTCCAAGTTATACTTACGTTTGTGTAAGTTTTCATGGTGGTCGAGCTGAGACGACGAGGAGTCACGAGACAACTCGCATTTTTCCACACACAACCTTCCACCCTCGAATTTCCTTTACATTCTTGCATCTCCAAACTGTTCTAAATTTCGTGAAATTTCTCAATTTTACGTTAAATCTAACACATCGCGAAATGTTTACTGATCTTATATAAAAGCAGAAAATTTAGTTATATTTAGCAATATTCCTCAGTACAATTCTAAATATACGAGATATTGCAAATACGTTTTTTTTTTTATACTTGACATATGCCAAACGCAAAATTTAAAAAATATATAAATCTCTAAAGTTATTTTACACAATTAAGCTACTTCACTTGTAGCAGCAATTGTAGTAACAATATTTAAATGCTAACAAGTTTAACGAAATAAGAAACAAATTTTGTGCGATTCTGTGTTATTGATACAAAACTCATTTATTTATCGTGGTATATTACTAAATACTATCTTTCTACATTATATTATTAGACATCGTAATTAAATACTTTTCAACATTAAGTGGAAAAAGAAATACGATGCTAAGGTGAGCAATCATTCATCGTATCAACACGTATCACTTTTATCGATGTTGCGTGAATTTCGAATAAACGATATTCGAATTCTGCGTAAAACGCGCTTCACTAATATTTGCCTAAAATATGTTATGACAAGACATAAATAATTAGATAGATATGGTTTTTAGCATATAGATAGAAATTTTAATACAACCTTAATATGAATCGACTATTTACCTACATATTGCACCAATATTATTGTAATTTCGAATACATGTATTCGCATTTTATCCTTGCAACAGCCTTGCTCTTTGCTGTCTTCTTGCTACATTGTTTAATTAAAACGTGCCTAAAGAACATGTTAAGTGAGATGTTGTTTTGTAAGCGAGATATTGCGATCAGATCGTATGACACATTCGTCTTCCATATATGTTGACCTATTCCATATAATCTTATTAAAACACTCGATGAGACGCTACGTTGGTTTTTCATTTTCGTCATGAGCACTTCTAATTACTTCGAAATACTCCTAAGAGAATACTCTGCTTGAAATCGAATGATTTTTGGAGTATACTATGCGAAGTGTGCTATTAATTTTTCTCTTCGTCCTGAAGAAGATGCCGCTATCAATAAGGAGATAAGCGTTAATGGGATATGAAGCGGAAGAAGCGTTACGTATGCATTCGATGTAATCGATTTGTTTAATCCGTGAGGGATTTACGAAAGCGCTTCGATCAAGCACAACACAATCGTTGATCTCTTTTTTTTTTCTCGACCTCGACGAAAGGATTCAGCAGTTCATGGCAGATGGAAGCCGAAGAGATGGAACGAGCGGCGCGGCGTCGTCATGCTCTTCGAAGAAACACATGTGTTTGGCACTTTGTGTGCCAAAAACTTAAAGCAACGGAAAGTGATTTGCCGCAGCGATTATTTAATCCAAAAAAATTATCGACAATTTCTTTCTCTGCGATTCCGAATTTATTAAAAAAAAAATTCTATGTATGCGTGCATAGATACCAGCCGTAAAAGCTCTTGGATGAATTACATATGGTGTTCCGAATTTTGTAGTATGACGATTTTGGTTGTTCATTTTTAATTTATTCTAGTGTGAAAATGTATTTGTCATTTTGTCGGAGTTCCAGTCACTTCGTATTGAATCCGTTCATCTTAGAACATTGTTCTTTAATGATCGAGTCGTGGCTATAGTAACCACAGCCTCGCAACGGTGGAACGAGTAATATGTCGATTGCAAATATGATCATCAGGGAGTCAAGAATCGGCCGATCGCTACCTCCCTGGCGTGAAAATTACCGGTTACGGCGTCTACCATTATAGTTGCCTGAGATGCGACGACTTCCAAATAATGCACAGAGTAAAACTGCAGGAGAACGCTCAGTGGAAAGTTACTCTCCCCCATTCCCAATTGCTGTCTACGTAAATGACAAATTTAATTCTTTCCCGTTTAATCCATCAGTTCGAATATTTAAAGATTGAATTGTTAAGATGATAATAGATAAATATTATCTTGTGGCAGATAAATAATATTTATCTTTATGAATAAAAATGACTTTCTTTTCGTTCAATCTTTAATTTAAAGCATTTAAAGATCAAACTGCGATTTGCCGAATAATTGATATCTACGTTTATTCATAAATACGCATCATTTTCTCCGCACTTAATCCATAAACAAATGACTAATTGATATACTTAAAATAAACGCAAATTATTTCTCCGTATTTAATTCAAAACTATAAAATAAAGAATATTTACAACACACCGACTCCGCAAAACAATCTATATATTTTATCGTTTACTTTCCTACTCCCCCAATCCATCATTTAAAACATTTGAATTCAAATTCTCACTCCGAAACTGGTACCTACGTTTATTTAGGTATAAATATAATTACTTTCTTTTTTTAATCTATCCAAATAATTTTCTGCTTAAAAAGATCGAAAGATCATAAATAAAAATTAATACATAATTACATGAGGTACTTGTAAAGCAATTTTTCTCACGATTTTCTCGACGACTGACATTTATTTATATTTACTGGATATGAAACTTTTTATACCTCAAGTTTGCAGTCTATTTTACCCGAGACATGTTTGAAGCTTTTTTTCGAGGGTGTCTAAAGAATGTACGATTAGTAAAAAAAAAAAAAAAGAATATAAACTAAACTCAATGACTCGATTGTTGATGTACGGCCATAACATGTGTGGGTGGTTTGTGTGTCTTGGAACGTTCCTCTGCCAAAACTTTGATGCCATTGGAATTCGCTGTAACAATAAAGCCATCGAGCGCACATGTGTTGCTGTAAGTTTCTTTTTTAGATATGCTGAAGTGAAACTCGACATAAAATAATACTTTTTGTACTGAACTCTAGCTTTGTCATGCTAATTTATCTTATTTTTTGATGGTGAGACTGAAATTAATTTGTCTTTTTGCTTATATAATAAATTGTTAATTATTGCCTGTTAATTTTCATTATATTTAAAATAAAATTTTTTTGATAATCAACTTTTTTTGAGAGATTTTCTTTTTCGAAATAAATGTAAATGTTTAAACGATTTTTCATTGAGATTCTAAAATCGATATAACTCGTAATAACTGTAATAAGTAATTTAAACATATATTTCACAAATGATAATGTTTAAAATGCATATTGTTCGTGGAAATAACAACCGAAATAACACCTCTTGCGTAATAAATCCAATTGCCCGATTTGATCGCATACCTATTCTTGCGTGACCTTTTACGATTCAGCGCGCACCGTTAAATGCAAATAACAAATAAAAAGATTGTGATAAAAATATTTACAATAATATCCCATCGCTTATCTTTATGTCTGTACGAAGGAAATAAGTAAAGCTATAATTATTTTGAGTACCAGAAATTATCGATATGTGCGTTACTTGATTAAGAAGGCGCTTCGTCATACGCTATCTCGTTCGTACAATCACATTCGCTTTAATTGCTTCAACGTAGAGAGAAAGTTTTAGGTGTCACCTCGAAATACTGCGGAAACCAACAACAACAATACGGTTGCGCGTGAACACGAGAAATGTACATCTATGGGTGCGATCCATTTTTGGCACTCCAAACGCTCTTGGAAACATTTCATTCTTGTTGTTTATAATGTTAAACAAGGACAAGATGATGCTCTGAAGCGTCTAATGCTATAGGATCGCACCCTATAATCTTGGCCGAAAATTATAGAGATTATTTTTTACTTGATTTTATATTTAGATATTAGAAAGCTGTCGGAAATATGACGAGAATTGAAGTATCCATTCTAGATAAAAATAATGCGAGAGAAAAGATAAATATATTTTATGCACTTCAGTTCCTTTAATGTAAAATATATATATATACGAATTATATAGTCTCGTATAATGAGTCATAAATTAGTTGAAATAAAAGGCAAATATGCATAGCCGTACACTATCTAAATGAGTATCTGGATCAGACCTAAACATATATCAACTAAATATTGGAATTTCTTAATCGTTTATTCTCTCGATTATTCTTAGCTTAATTTATCGAAATGATTGAAATTAATAAAAAGAATAATGTCCTAGGATATATACGTAAACAAGCGTGTCAGACAACAACAATTAAACTAGAATGGCTTATGTTCATTGTTCGTGAATTTATTTAAATCCATTACGTTTTATCCAAGATAGAAAAGGAGAAACGAGAAGTAAAAAGTTTTTACCGTCTTGATCCGAAATATCTTATGGAAGTAAAAATACAGTCAAAATAAGAAAAGAAAGTTCAAAAAAGTCAATCTCGGTTGTGAAAGAAGTAGAAACGAAAGATCCAGTGATACAAAGATGTTATGGAAAAAAAAAACAGTTATTCTAACGTGATGAGTATAATATATCACGTGAGAGTAAATTGATTAACAAATAGTTTGCGTGTATAATAATAAAAAAAAATCAAGAAAATAAACGGTATCATAATATGTAAAAAGTATGTATAATAAATAACAATCTCATGTAGATGTAATAAATGTCTTAACTCTATTAATGTATATAATATGTTAACTCTATTAAATTCTATGCAAAGAACGTGATGTGAAAATAAATAAAGACATATTTCTGAAAAGAATACATTTTATTTTTTTTTTGTATAAGCGTGCGTATACCGAACATATTGCCAAATGTGTTCTCAATTAATTGAACGATTTGGCGATCACGACATAGATCCACCAAAGATGTCTCTTCTTTCCGCCGCTTAATTTCGTTGCCTCTCGGTTCGGTTGCAGATACAAGCGTCGTACGACCTTTGAAAATGAGTGTCATAATCAGACTGCAAAATCTGGCGTGGTCCGCCAATGCATTGGACATACGCCAATTTTTCAGAGGCCTGAGTATCCCGGAGGGAGGAGTTCATATTGTCGGCGGTGAATTGGGAGATGCGTTTATCGCATTCAGGTAACTACTGCTACATGAATTCCTGTTTGTGTGCTCTAAAAAAAGGAATGTGTCAGAGAGCATAATGATTTTGCATCTTATTTCCTGCATTGTTCGCTTAACATATGTAGGTATACAAATACGTAATACCTTGAACACTTTATGTGATTATTACATTATACTTTTTATGACCTACACGTAAAATCATAAATCTACAGTCATAAATTCCTCGAATGGAATTATATATATGCATTAAATTATCTTATATCATTTACACACAGCTAACTTGATTCGTTTATGTTTTTCATGTTTATGTTATTCATGTTAACAATTTATCAATGATTTCTAATAAAAGATAGTAAGTTTTTTTACCTAATTTGTAATTAGTTTTATTGTAGCGGAAACTTAGAGTCTCGGTAGATTATTATTACGAACGTGAGTTATATTATTACGAAAACTTGTAAAACAAGCTGTCGATATAAATATATAAGGTAGAAAATTAATTTCCGGTTTTTATCAGATCTCGTTATTAGTCACAGTATTATATAATAGTATAATATGATTAGCCTTTTTATTTTCACGCTCTTGTCGCGTGCTAAAAGGATTTAAAATAATCAAGCGTAAAGTCAAAATTAAATATATCCACGTAATATCCGCAAAATGAGATAGAGTGATTATTTCTTTTTGTGTACAACTTTGAATAGTAGCAGGAAATAAAGGGATGCAGTTTTTTAAAAATAAAATAATGGGCATTAAACAGCTTTTAAATTTCTACCGAATTTGTGGGAATATCGATAAAAAACGAATCGCGACGTCAGGCAGATTTCACAGACTATCATTTCGCTATTGCAGCACCGACGAAGATGCCCGCCAGGCAATGATGCACGATGGCGGCAAGATCAAGGAGATGAAGATCAAGCTGCTATTGAGCTCGCGCACCGAAATGCAAAAGGTAATCGAGGCCGCTCGGCAGCAGACTTTGAGTTTGCAATGCATCATGCAAACCGCGCCGGTAGTGGTACCGCCTGTGGTTTCTACCAAGCAGCCCGGCTCGCCGACGGATAAAAGGGACAAGGATAACGACAGCGAGTCCAGCAAGGACCGAAAGGATAGACGCGACCGATCGAGATCGCGGGACCGCTCGCGGTCGCGCGACCGCGACCGTGATCGCGATCGGCGCGATCGGGACCGCGGGAGAGATCGACGACGACGGGATCGTAGTAGGTCGCGAGACCGGGAACGCGACAGACGAGACCGGCGTCGTCGCCGGGACCGATCCAGGTCGCGCGACCGCACGAGGTCGCGTGATCGCGACTCGAAGAGGAACTCGACGAACGACAGGCGCAAGGATACTAACGAGGATGATAACAGCGAAGTCGTGTGCGTCGGTCAGTTTCACAAGGACAAGGCATCGACGGCTACATCGAAGAAACCGCTCGAAAATGGCATTTGGGAGGTTCCGCCACAGACGCAGATGCAGGCCGCTCTGTTGGCGCCGAGCATTTTGGGCGCAGGCGTTGCCGCTCTGTCTCAGGACTCAGAGACTCAGCGTTCGGCCATGGCCGCCAGCTTCGGCACCCCGGTGATGAGCCAGCAGCCGATGTTGCAATCTGGACAGTTCTCTATAAACGGCCTTAACGGCGTTGGCAATCTCATGCAGCCGCATATACAGACGCTCGGACATACAGTAGGCATGACGTCGTTATCGCAGAATCTGAACACCGCCACTAGTCTACCCAGTTTGGGCGGTCTCGGAACTCGTCCTAAGGAACCCTGGGGTCAGAACGACCAGGGCAGAATGGATCAGACTGGGCGATTCTCCGGCCGGTCGAATCAATTCGGTAGTCAGGAATACGGATCTACCGGCAATTACCGCGGTACCAGGCCAAGCAATCCCTTCCTGAACAAGGTGCAAGAGCTCGAGGGCCGTCGCAATCCACACGCGTTTCAGGCTGGCGCCTCCAACTTTGGCAGCTACGACAACGATCGGCCGACGTCCGGCAGAAAGTCCGGCAACTCGAGATTCTCCAACGAGAATAAGAACGGCAGTGGTGGAGGTCATTGCGTGGAAGTGCGCAACATGCCGTTGAGCGCGACGTATGCGGATCTACGCCACGCGTTCCACGGTATCTACATCAGGAAGGACGGCATGAAGATAATCAACGATAACCACGGTAACCGCGTGGGCATCGCGTATATCAAGTTTGGCAAGGCTGAAGGTAAAGAACTCGCGCTGAGCACGACGAGATACGTGCGAGGTTCCGAGGTAGAGGTACTCGATTTGGACGAGAGTATCTTCGATAAAGCGGTGAATTCTTACTCGCCCGAAAGTAGGGAGGACGGCACCGACGGCGACGTTAGAAACTCTATGTGCATCCTGCTGACCGATCTGCCGTCCTTCACCAAGGAGATGGACATAGCCAAGCTGTTCCACGACTGGAAAATCAACGATCTCTTCATCACCAATAGCAAGGAAACCGGCACCACTCAGTATATGGCTTACGTACAATTCGCGCGACTCGAGGACGCCAAGTCGTCGCTGAGTACGCCGCTCAAGATCGGTAGCAAGCAAGTGACCGCGACCGCGATCAGCGAGGACAAGTTCGCGCAGGCGAAGCGCGAGCACGAGCAAGTGAGCATGCACCAAACGGATTGTATTCTTATGCGCGGCTTGCCATTCCAGACAATCGACCGCGACATCTTCGACTTCTTCTCGGACATCGGCATTGTCCCGCTCTGCATTCACATGATGCTCAATCAGCAGGGCAAACCGGCCGGCGAATGTTTCTGCGAGTTTGACTCACCTGAGAAGGCGGAACGCGCGATCGCCAAGAATGGCCTGCCGCTTGGCAAAAACATCCCCACTATCGAGCTGGTACCACGCGTCAAGATGCTCGAAACCCTCGGTATGATGGAAGCGCAACAGCAAACGCAGCAGCAGCATTTCCCGATGCAGGAACAACACGGTCAGAGGCCGCCGCGCTTCTCCGGCCCGATAGGTCATATGTTACGTTTCGGCAGCACCGGATTTGGGCCCCGTTGTCCGCCCGGCGGCCTAATGGGTATGCCGCGTCACATGGGTATGGGCCGTCATCCACCGTCCATGGACTACGTCGAGGGTTTCGGTAAACCTGGCTGCGTGTTATCACTCGAGAACGTGCCGTTCAAGGCGGACATCAACGAGATTATCGAGTTCTTCGGTGATTTTGATGTGAAACGAGAAAACGTGATTCGTCGCTACAACGAGAGGGGCATGCCGACGGGGGATGCGCGCGTGGCCTTCTCGTCGCCCAGTGAGGCACAGCGAGCGCTCAAGGAACTTAAGCATTGCAAGATGCGGGAGCGTACCATATACATGAAAGTGGCGTGAGATCTATCATTCCGCCATGGAGTGGCTGATGACAGCACGTGAAAGGACACCGTCACCGTTGCGACTATATCCGTTGCGGCCGAATTGAATATATTCATACGAAGCCCTTTGTGCGCGGACGAACGAACGCAATATCCAATAGAACGTCTTCTGAGAATTAACATAAGAGTCGGTTTTATACGAGAGAATCCTTGCCAATAAGTGCTCAATAAGGATAAAGGTACTTCGGGAGATGTACAATGGAATGTCTTCTTTGTGCAAAAGACTGTACTTCCTTGTTAAATTTGCGCCGATCTACGTGTACATAGAATGCATAAACTTAAGGACAATTTTCTTTATTCATCCATTCATATCGCGATATGCCATACCGCCCGAATTGTTTCTGCCTATCGTAATTAGAGGCATTTAACCCATTACTCACTATTGTGTATTAAGGACTTACGTACGTTTAAAACACGATCGCATACACGTGTCTTGGATGAAAATGTATTCACCGCTGACATTGGAAATATAAATTGATCATACGATTACCAGGGAGTATGGACGAATGTACATTATATAAATGTAAAGAATTTCATTATCTTATTTTTAATATCACTGCAATACCAAATAATGTTAAGTTATAAGAACGAAAGAAGCTGGAAGCAGAGTACAAAGTTAGAGATTTAAATGATTGCGTTTGCTTTACGTTTGCTGACATGGACTAATATTATAAAACTCGAAGAACCTGCAGTTCGGTGACGATGAAGGAGGCTATCTTTATGAAAAACGAGTACATGTGTTGTATATATATATATGTAAGGTATATTGTTACATATCTTACATAATGTCTGTGTACATATATTCATGATAAGTAATACATTACATGATTACATGTATATAAATGTAGAGATCACGCACTATAATCTTATGCGCAATCGTACATGTACATCTATCGCGACTAAACTTGTGTAAAATAACGAACAATACCAATAAGTTTATAGATGCGCACGATTACACATTGTCATAAACTTGTGTTACGATGATAACGAACACTTGAAGACTTCAATAAATTTTTATTCAAATCTGGCCACGCCTTTATCTGAATTTAATGTTAGCATTAATGACATCGCATTATTGATGCATAGATTGATTTTAATTGATTAAATATACTCAATTCTCAAATAATATTTTACTTGTGTCTTGTGTCGCCTCTCTTTTATAAAGAGAGTACGAGTGGTGCGAATCCTATTTAATTTCAATAATATTCACAGGAATTTTTGAAGGAGATACAAATGAAAATTCGGTTTCCCCTGTCTATTATATTTTTTATTATTTCATTTATTTACATTTATATTTACTTTTCGCGATCTATAAAAGCTGTTTCAAAAAAAAAATTTTTTTAGAATTTATCAAAAAAAATTTTTATACTTTGAAAATGATCTGATTATGAGTGATTATTATACAACTATTTCGTTGATTACAAAAACAACACGATAATTGTTATTTAATTATTCGCTAAATATTTAAATAGATATAAATATATCTTTTATTTTCCCATTTTCTTTAGTCCACATTCGCGTAAAAAATTGTGTCGCCAATTTCTTGAGTGAGTTTTTCTTGTCAGTTTCAATCGGACGCGACACGCGGCCTAGCTGCACCCTGCTGTGTCGATGGCAAATTTTTTGCCAGTACCACCATACTGACCGTCTACCGTCTACCGTCCTAAAGGACAGCTCCGTGATGAAAGCGTGCTGCAACAAATCGACGCTGCCTAAATATTGAGTCACGGGCTATTTCTGTAGCCGCGCCTCGGCTATATAAGCCCGTGAGCCCGTGACATGTCCAGCGGCAATGGCGCATTTCAAATTATTGTGGCCTTACTCGGATGAGATTCTTCTCCGCATGTATATAGAATAATAAGCGCATAAAATATTTAAATTGAGAGCAAATTATTCGTATCTTATATCTTATTCAGGGTTGGACAAAGTCCCTCGTATAACATGAGAGATTCTATAAGCTCTCGTTTCAATATTCATCACATTTTAATTGACGCAAAGAAATATTATCGACCTTCGAAAAACTGTAGGTGCGTCTATCCCTAATGCAAGGTGATGTGCATTCAGTCGATTCTATTCAGCGATTTTTATCATAAAGTACGCGTTACATTATACATACAGGAAGATTGCGATTAACCTTGGTCTATTTAGATACAGGAAACTCGACTTTACCTATATCCGAAACACATTTGGCATACCAAACGTTTCGGAACGGTATTTATATAGCATTCAACATTCTTTGTCTTAGATTTTCCAATTAAACAGTCGAGACAACACTTGATGTCTTCTTTTACGTTCATAATTCTTAAAGAATTAAAATATTGGTATAATTAAATATAATATCCAGTGCATTGCTTAACTCTAGGTTATTACTACTCTTAATTTTTATCTACATCGTTATTACTACCACAGGTCTGAGAGCATCGTTATCTGCTTATAACTCATTATTAGGCAAATACTTAATACTTTTCTTTTTTAATCCTTTTTTTATCGGAACGTCAAAGCCTGTTTAAGCAAAATTACATAATTTTATTTTGGAACCAAATATAGAGGAAACAAGTTGTAAAGACTTAAAACAAAGGAGAATTTTTATATAATCAAACTCGGAAAGTTTCTATTCAAAGTTTCTATTCTATAGATATAAAGAATAGAGATTGTAGACTACAGACTATAATAGATGGTATAGTAAACCTATAATAGCTAAGTTAAAAGCTCATTTGCGCTCTCCAAATGATGCACATATATTACAGTTATATAACAATAATTGCTTCCTACATGGTTGAGAGGTAACCACGCGAGATCGATTCTGCAATCGCACCGACGACATCGCGTTACATTGTGATGAATTACGCAACCGATATTCATCGGTATCGCGATGCAAATTACGACGCTGACGATATCTACGTACGCCCCTTCGCAGTTCGCAGTCCTTCGTACATCTCACTGATCTCACGCACATCTGCAACTGACAACCAACACGATGCAAGGACGAACTGAAATAGAGAAGGCAAGAATGAACTAATGAAGACTCATATGAAGAGCGGAAATCTCTCGGTGAATCTGTGACAAATGGATGCTTTCTGCACCAACCTAAAAACAGATCGCAAAGAATCTTCGAAAATAGCAAAAATTTGCGCGCTGCGAATTGCGTGTAAACTCGCTGATTTAGTTTTAAATGCAACCACATCTATCGTCTCCTTTATCCTCTATCCTTTTCGTCACTCTTCTCTCGCCGTATTTTCTTGTAGGGATAACATTGCATCTCCTCGATTACGTTTTAATTATTTCGATATACAAGAAGAGTCATATACCATATCCTTCGGCAGTCATAATCGCGTCATAAAATGATGTACCCCCTTCGACGACTACGGTTGTGAATTGTGACTTCATGACTTGTGACTCGCTCGGGAAATTTCATTTTGCTATATCCGTATTTCGTGTCAGCAGCGCCTACTCGAGAATCTCCAGGATTACGCATCTACCGTTTTAAGTAACGCGGTATGCGGTATCATCGTCACGAACACGCCACTATAGTACATATAAGTGACAAGCATTCCAACAAGTTTCATTGTCAGTTATCTGGCAAAAGAATGAACAAGCTTAGCCATAAAGCGTGTATTCAAAGAATACAATTTACAGAGAGGATATTCTAATAGTAGTGTAATTTAATCTTTATGTAATATTGTTGGAAAATTATTTAGCCATAATTTGTATGGATTTTAATTAGAAAAGCCAAAGAGCAGCAGGAATTAATTTAACAAACGTACACGACACGGTATTCCTCTCATTTCGGGATGACAAATTAGACATCAAACGATATGCGATTCTCAGATCCTTTAGGTACCTTTACCGCGATCCGCGATACACGTAAACACGTACGGTATAGAATACAGGCAGAGAATACGTATACAGTCTTCGTTAAGAAATAAGGTCAACGAATTTTCCTCCGCATAACTCCCGATATGTAATGTATGCGGGACGTCTGGTGCATAAAGTCTGTAATTTAAAGCGCGTGTCTCGGTGCATGTCCCGCCGCGCTGTCGCGATGCCGACTAAAATCTCACGTCGATCACCTCGATGTCGATGAATAAGGATACATTTTTTTTTTCAATAAAGTAAGTATAAAAAAAACGTAAAATTATCATAAAATAAATATTGTAGTTTGTAGTATTCTAATCAATAAAAATATTATACTTCTATAAATTGAGTTTACGAAGCGTACAAGTCAAAGGCTGAAAGGCAAAGACGCCGCCGCCACAGAAAACATTGATTGGTTGAAAGCAACTTCGGCTTCAGATATATTTACCGATTTTCAACAGTGTTTTCCTTATTTTATATATTTAAAACGTACGACAAACTGCTCTTGACGAAAAACTATATACATATATTGTTGTTCCTTACTTATCGTTAGTATCCATTTTATACGATTATTTCATTATGATTATAACGTTTCTGTTCTGCGCAATGCAAGTCTGAAACTTACAAACGGGTAAAACGGAGTGTTCAAATGCTGCACTATAATTACATTATCTAATTTGAAGGCAAGCCAAAAATCAGAACAAAAGGTACGAGATACAAGATTGATAATGAGACTAATTCATTTCAATAAAAGATCAATATATAATGTCTATATAATAAAGAGAAATGTATTAATAACGATACAAGCATCAATCTCGCGGTGTTATTTATAAACTAGATCACTTCCTCACGGCACTCGTCAAACCATCGGTTCAATTAAGTACCGTTATCTTTACACAACGGTTATGCCTGCTGAGTGCTGCCGATGGTTGATTATATGCGCTTCTGGTGCAATACTCTTACGCGTATATGTACATTGGAATTACGCACGCGTAAATTCCGAGGTAAATAGGTAAATAAATTCGCTGCGCGAATAACAAGGCGAATAATATTCGTAGATAGATATTTATTTTTAACTATAAAGCTCGTGCAAAAGTCTTAACTCGTTTCTCTTATTTGCTAATCCTAGGAAAGAGCATCCTAGAAATAAAAAAGAAGGATGGATATTGCAAGACGCGTTAAATTGATTGATCTTTGTATATTTTCAATTTAATATACATATAGCGCGAACGTTTATTTGGCTCGATCGCCACAATTATAAGCATTTCAGATCTGCATTCTGCTAGTCTGCAGATCTCGTTACAGGCTACAGGTTGTCGCAATATCACGGGTCGCGGATCGCGGGTTTGCTTGGACAACTGCACACGCGTAAATGCGTAAGCTTAAGCACTACCGTTCTTACCGTAGGTAAGCTAAATATAAACAGCAATAGCTTAAGCCACTAATGGATCGATTCGACTAATGCTACTTCCCACCCTTCTCTCGTTTGACTCGTTTCATCGTACGTACCTGCTGTGAGTCTGTGAGCAACGTGGCGCTCGGTATAAACGTATAAACAAAACGTTCACGCCCACGAGTATTACGTCTACGCAAATCCAATCTACGCTGCTCCATATTATAGCTCTATGCCATGTTCCAGGGTCCAGGTTCCAGGTGTGTGCACTGGTGGAAAGTGCGCACCTGGAAACGTGCACACGTCTACTCGTGGTCCACTTGTTCTGCCTACTCGCCTACTCGCAACGCGAATAAGAGCATGCATAAGCGAGTATGAAATAATAGTCATCTTAAGATTATCTGGATACACGGTATATGGCAAGCGAAAGCAAAATCCGAGATATGTATTTATATAACTTTATCAAAACTAGAATCTATGTAATAAATATCAGCAAATGAGAGATATACGAGTGAAACGGTCAAAAAGGAAGGGGAAAGTATCGATACCACGATTATTGCCAAGAAGCTATTTGAAGCAAAATATATAACAAAATTAATATCTCGTCATTATTGAAAGCAAAATATTGATATTGAATCTAAAACGATACGATATATTGAATGACACGAGGATGTTCTAGGTACATCTAAAATCGCAAGAGCGAGAGAAGATGACGAGTTTTAATCTTTTCTTTTTTGAATCATTTCTGAGCCATTGCATTGGTTTGTATAGTCATTGTCTGAAGTCTGAAGCGAATCAAAACGTTAAAAGTTTTTATTTTTTATTTTTGAATGAATAAACAATTAAATGAATTTAAGCTCTTATTGGCACTGTACTTCTCTCACGACGCGCGCCGGTGAAATATAATATCGTGTCTCGCAAAGCAAGTCGCGTTGGCAGATTGGCAGATTGACACCGCGACCATTGTCACCATCATTAGTATGGAAAACCTCTTCTTCCCTAATTTGCGTATTATTTTCATATTCTTGGACTCGTAGCAGTCGTAGCGTTACGAGCTACGAGCTACGAGCTCGTTCAACGTGCCTCGACGCGACGCCGACGCGGCGACGGGCGACCGTCGACGTGCGGAGACACTGACACGAGTATGAGAAACGGAGCGGAGAGGAGCGAGTCGCGGAGTCGCGAGTCACGAGTCTCGTGCTCGGGGAAGTCTTTTGTACTCCCGCGCGACGCGATGAATCCTCTCTCTGGACGAGGGACGAGCGGACCCAACGAGAGGAGGTCCCGACTCTCGACTCCCGACTCCCAACCCGTCCCAACTCCCGACGCGAGACGCAAGACGCAAGACGCGAGTACGAGTCGCGTTTAGGTCGCGTAGCGCGCTACAGGCTTTCAGGCTACAGTAGTTGGCTGCCGCCGCTCGGGAACTGGACGGCCAGCCGTGGCCTTCTCGCGCGTTTCCTTTTTCCTCTCTTTCTTCTTGTCTTTCTCTCTCTCTCTCTTTCTTGTAATCGGCACTGGCGACTGGCCTTCTTCTCCCGGAGCGTATCCCGACAGTGATGTTTCTCCCTGATGTTCGGTATTGACTCTTGTCCGACCGGATTCTCATTGATCCTCGGACTGACGCGGTGAAAGTACTCGAGAAAGGGAAAGAGAGAGAGAGAGAGAGAGAGAGAGAGTACGCGCGTCCGACAAACTCCACGTGGTGCCGCGGCACCCTACTTCTCCAGTGGATACACCCCTCGAGTACCCTGAACCCTGAACCCTGAATCCCGCGACGATCGAGCGAAGGAGGCGACATGAGGCCGACCGTGGACCTGTTCGTCTGGACATTGCTGGTCCCGCCGCTCCTATTTGCGACGGACCCCTCGCAGAAGGCCGCTGGAGCAACGGTGGAATGCCCGCAGAAATGCGTGTGTTACAACAGCACGATGCAGGTGCGATGTATGTTCCTAAAGCTGGTCCAAGTGCCACGGGTGCCCACCAATGTCACCGTTCTGTAAGTCGTCTCTTTCTTTGTTTCTTTATTTCTTTGCAAAATCATTTTCTCATATCATTAGTTTAATTTAAAATTATTCGAAATTTCGGTGTTGCATAACGCGTAAAATGTTGTTTGAAATTTTCCTACATGCGCGAAAGTTCGATGCTTATAATTACACGAGAAATTGTCTGCAATCATCGTTGCAGATGATAACCAATCAACGTAGGTGGAATTGTGGTGAATGATGAAAGGTCAAGAGAAAGTGCGTTAAAGTGCACATTCGCTTATAAGAAGGATACTAATCGAGACGTATGATCAGTTAAGAAGATCGCGACTGACTATGGAGCGCTTTCTCACATGCGGTGCAATGGAAAATGCATTTTGTACTCTTCGCATCGTGTTTCAATGGTAGAATTCCTTATATTCCTCTAATGCCCCGAAACCTGTTTCAAGAATTCGTCGTACTGTAAATTATAATTAATAGAAGATTAAAAACTAAACTTAAAAAAAATTAATAATTGCATTGTAATCGATCTGTGCAATTATCTGCGATAGATCTCGAAAGAGAAAAGAATTTCATTACTTAATACTGGAAATATCCTCTCAGAGAATTAATCACGTTGTAATAATCGCTAAAAATCATAGAAAATCCGTAAATTCAAAATAGAAATCTAATTTAGCGAGCGAACGTATAAGTTATCGATTTGTGAAGCAAAGTAGATCAACAAAACCGAAGATCGCCGACTACTTGGAACTATATATATAAGTTATGGTTACGATGCGGCGCGGGCGCGGCGTTAAAGTGGAGTTTCGCAGAAAGGAACGAAGGAGAATGGAGTAAAACGGTTAGCTGAACGAATTCGATGCACATGATGCCACAGAGTTGTTTAATCCGACATTCTTAATACTGCGGCATTACGTAATAAATAATATATATTTATTTTATGAATATATTTTCAACATTTATATCGAGTCGACTTCGTCACGGCAGACTTCGCTGCCTCGAGAAGCGCGTATTTCAGAAAAAAAATATTTGAATACTTGAATTAACAAATGATAAACGTGATAAAAAATGTGATATCTCAATGTGTAGATGTAGATGACCGACTATTTTATCATTTCACCTCGATTTATCTCGCGCTGATACGTGTAATCGATACCGCATATATAGTATCATACCCATAAATTTCGACGCGCTCGTTGGAAAAAATAAAAGGATAATCCATGCAGTCTGTATGAAGAATATACACGAGTTCTTTATCATTTTTATTGTAAGTCATTTACGTTGCAAAATCTCGAACAAAGATGGAATGGTATGGCAAACATTGGCGAATCAGTTTGCGATTCTGTGAATCAGCGATAAGTGCTATTAATTCTATTTATCTTTAGTCTTAAATGTGACTTCGAATATACATATATCAGTACATTGGATTATAATCATATGTGTGTGTGTGTGTGTGTGTGTGTGTGTGTGTGTGTGTGTGTATGTGTGATACTCATTTTTATCATAACCATCGACAGGGGGGCCAGGGACTATCATTTATTATTAATTACTTGCTATTATTTGCTACATATTAATTTAAAAATGTTACCTTTTAAAAATAAAGTTTAATATATTTCACAAAAGGATTATTCAATAGAGAGGATCACCATTTAACCATGACCCTATTCTGCAATTAGATGGCACAAATCGTTGTGTAACCTTAGAACACATTGTGGAAATGTAAACCCCATTAGAGAACACAACTACTGTTTTATTTTATTTATTATTTTTTTATTGATACGTAATCTTTTTTCTCATGCAACTTGTTAAGATAAAATAAATAAAATTTATTATTTACATAAGAAATATATATTTTCTCATTTTTCTTTTCATTATAAATAATTGTATTCTTTTTCAACATTAAGTTCTATTTCATTTTTTCTAATTACAATCTCATTTTATCTAAACTAGTTGACCCTTTTAGAAAAAATCTCTCTCCCTCTCTGTCTCTTATTTATCATTTTTAAATAGCGACCATCTCGAATTAATTCTCTTCAAAGTTAGAAAGTAGATATATATAGCGACAACGAGTATTTGGAATACATTATACGATGCGGCTCTGAGATATGAAACTTGACTCTTTGATTAATTCTACAATCACTGCTCATGCGACGGTGATGAAATTTTATTGAAATAAAGAACAAGTATAAACACGCAACTCATAGAGGTTCTGCACACACATATTATGTCGCGTATGAAGCCTGAGTAAGCCAGAGAGAAGTTCTCGACGTTAAATTTCTTTTCTTCTCTATCCTTCTCTGTCTTTCTCGCACCATCCTACGCTCATATAAATGCGATTATAATTTACATTAGTCTGCCTGTTATTTCCGTAGCGATGAGTGATGAGCTATCCAGCGCTCTAACATATTTAATACGATATTGTCGATTGTCGGTTCACGAGATCATTCAAAAACATTTTATTTAACTAAATACAAATAACAGATTCTCCACATATAATATGTTTGTTAAGAAATTATAAATAAATAATTAAGTTTCATCTTTCTTTTAGCAATTTCAATGTTAAAGAAGTGGCATGAATATAAATTGTATTGTCTATCTCTTTATACGTTTATTTGAGAATTAAAAATTGATCTATTTATTTTTGTTTTATCATACACAGATGATAACAGCAATATTAATTTAAAATATCTTATACGAATCTGCGCAGAGTCTTTCAACTATACGAAACGAGGCATATTCATTTGAGGATAACGTAAATTCCACAAGGGGACAGTGTCCCCTTATATCATCGTTATAGATATTCTCGTCGGTGCATCTCGATGAATCGAGTGGTGAAGCCCCGGCTTCGGTGAAATTCGATATTTTGATCGAGCGAAATACGGTTCAGAAAAGACCGGATTGTGTGTGTGTGTGTGTGTGTGTGTGTCTTCCCGGAATCATTCTCATGTATCCACTTCATCCGCTGTTATTAATGCCGTTAATTCGCTCGCGATCTCCGTTATTAATACGCGTGTTCCATCACGCGGCGTTAAACGAATAAACCACCGATATTTGTACGCATCGATGCATATTTCTATCAATGGCGAACGATCGAAATGGCCACGTGCGATGACTGGCGTTAGAAATCAATAATTCGACGTCAAAATGCATTTACATATACAAAAGGCAAAAAGATGCAAGTTTAAAAATTCAATTTTTCAGACGAAACTTGCGAAGAATAATGTTACGTTATTATTATATTAAAGAAATAAACATTTATTATTATTTTATAGATAAAACAATATTTTACAGAGGAATCATTCAGATAGAAACTTCCAGTGCTTACGTACTACGTACGTAAAATGGTTTCTCGGTATTTATTTAAATTCTTTTAATATTAATAAATGTAAAGAAAAATTGTTTGTCTAAAATAAACAGCACTCTTCATTCATTGATATTGAATTTATTGTACGTATAAGTTTTCTTTTTGGATAATCGTGATTAAAATTTTTAAATAGATTTAGCTTATTTTGTAATTTTAGAACTTGTTTTTCTTTCATTACAATAATCTAACTGTCAACACCGATAATTTTAAACTTGCTTTGTTCTACTTTCCAGATAAAGATGTATATAAGTATGACTCGCTCCAAATTTCGTAACGCTGTCAACATTAACGCAATATTTTATTGAGGTCGCGTTTAAAGTATTTAATTACCGTGAAATGTGAATTAAATTGTTTGCAAAGTAATCTAAGGTCACACTGAAGAACTGGAGCTAATTACATCGCTTTCTTTCGTAGAAAATAGCACTATCATTTTATAATTGACTCACCACACCACAGTTTATTGATATCTTGTGTGCGTATGTGTGTACAAATTATATAAAAATAAAAATTATCGCGTATATAAAAATTATCATAAAACGTAATGTAAACATTTATATTAATATTCATTATTCAATATTGCATATGCTTATATAATTTGTAGAAAAATACAAAGGCTATCGCCGTGTGGAGAATTTCCGCCAGTTACAAATCGGGCTTTTTCTATTTTTCTCTCGGCACGCGTACTCGCGCCGACCCGACGCGACGCGACACGGTGACGATTCGTTGACACGATAAGAAGGTTGAAACTTGAAACATCATCGGGTCAAGCGCGACAACTCAAGTCAGTAATTTAGAAAGGAAGTAATGTACAACGAGTCGAGTAAAATTATTAATTAAGGAGACGCTCTGCGGCTGATAACTAGTGGATTATCTTCGCCACGCCAAGTCGTAATAATTATGCGGTTGTGCAATGCGTTTTACGAGTTTGATAAATTTTTGTACTATTAAACCATGCAGCTAAATATCCTATTAATTACGATGCGTGGTACTCGCACTCTGATTTCCTTATTGATATCATACGAGTATACTTGTACCGTTAATAAGATATATATATTTTTTTAATTCAATAATCGTAATCTTTTCTAATAAGCAGATTCACGCGCGTAAGTTTCGAATCAAGTTTTCGCAAATCGTATTTACTAATCGATTTCTATTTATCTTAATAAATATATTACTTGTCTATCGAAGAAAGCATCATTGCTGTTTACTTTATCTTATATCCCGAAAAGCGCTTATGAATACTTGGTTCGCTCATTTTACTAAACAAGTGGGCGGATAGCTACGGTATTCTCGCCCACGTATGAAATTCTCTTCAGATATATTTATCTCACTTTTAGCGCAAAATGCGATCATCGAAATGTGACCGTCTGATCTTGAAGATCTAAGATCGTACGTGAGATATTCGTACACAAATATAAATAAAATTCAAAATCAACGACATTATCCTATTTGCTTCTATTGTTTCTATCATATCGGTAATCTGCCATGTCGGCGATATAAGTCCCTCTCTCTTGATACGCTGCAATATGCCTTTCTCGCAAAAGATATTTATTATTATGACATTTGATGACAATTGATGACGTTCACACTTCACATTTAATTTTTGGCAAAGTATGGCTCGTCCGCGATTTCTCAAGAATAATAGAACGTCTCGATTCTTTCTATCTGGCACTCATCCTCAATGGCGACTCGAGACTCGAATGCTCGAAATTTTTTCAGAGATCTCCGATTTAACAGCATCACGGAAGTGCGCGCGGGGTCGTTTGACGGACTCGACAAATTGCACACTCTGCTACTAAATGACAACCACATTCGACGGCTGCCGGTGGGCGCGTTCGAGGGCGCACCGAATCTACGGATACTCTACTTGTACAAAAATCGCATGGAGCACATCGCACCGGGCGCGTTCGCGGGGCTGCCACGACTCGAGCAGTTGTACCTGCATCACAACCACCTCCGTGAGATCCGACCGGGCACGTTCAACGACCTGCCGGCGCTGGAGCGTCTGTTTCTGCACAACAACAAGCTTCATCGACTACCAGCGGACGCGTTCGTCAACGTCGGCCCGATGACGCGGCTGCGTCTCGACAGCAACGCGCTCATCTGCGACTGCAATCTGGTCTGGCTGGTGGAACGTCTGCGGGACAAGCCTACGGAGATGGCGGCGATTTGCCAATCCCCGCACAAGATGAAGGGTCGCTCCCTAACAACGATGTTGCCCGAGGACTTTCATTGCAGTTGAGTATAGAATAGAATAGCGGCCGGCACCTCGCTCACGCGAAACCATCGTGAGATAGATTCATTTATCTTCTGTTATTATCATCTGAAAGCAACATATATACTGTATATATATCACCAAAAAAATATATATATGTATATATATAACAAAAATTGCTTTTTTTTAACATAACAATAAAACTTTGTTATGGAGTGAATTTATCCTTTGACTCTTTATTTTCATTGCTCATTGTTATACGTATCAATTATACATACCTCATATGATTTTGACATTATCACTGACGTAAGAGAGCGACTTTTAATATCTGATTACACGCGACATACGTCGTGGTCGTTGACACTGTGGTCATCGCGCTGCTGCATGATCTGCAACTGCATCTCGCGTGACGATGACTCTGGCTAGGGTGATCCGTGTATAATTGTGTATCTATCGCGTGATCCTTCAGCGGAAGACAATTAAATTCATTTTCCATTCAATTGACTGCCGCTAATTAATTCTATAGACTTATAGAGCTAAGCTTTCGAATCTCGATGATAGTGAGCTCTGAAATTATGCTATTATCAATTTGTAGAAGATTATATTTAGTGTATTTTATAAGTATGTATGTACAATCGTATATTTCTTTCTTCCTGTTAATATTAAAATACAAGAACTCGCAGTGGACAGAATCTCAGTGGTAAAAGCAGATAAAACAAGTAGATATATATATGTATGCATATAATGATCGCGATATACCAAAGCTAAAGAAGTTCTGAAATTGTATAAAAAAGAGACGAGAAGAACGCGAATAAAATAAATAATCTCATCAGTCATCATGTGTCATCACACATTAATCTAATTATTTATCTAATTCTAATTTTTCTTCAAAATCTCAGTCATATAACAAAAGATTCCTTTCGCAGCGAAACCGCGCATTATAGAAGGCCCGGAAGACACCGTAGTACGATTTGGTGACACGATAACGTTGAGATGTCGAGTGACGGGTGATCCGACGCCGAAGATCAAATGGATGAAAAACAGGTCGAGATACTCGTGGGAAACGGACGATGATAACGAAAGGTACGCGATCCACGAAGACGGTGAGAAATACGTGATCCGCGAGGACGGCACCTTGATCATCTCTGGCACGACCGAGCAGGACAGCGGGATGTACGAGTGCATAGCCAGCAGCGACATGGGCTCGACCAAATCTAGGAAGGCCAGAGCGGTTATCACGGCGGCGTCTCGGTTGATACTCGCTGAAAGGCCAGAATCGCAGAACGTGAGCGCCGGAACCAACGTGACCTTCTCCTGTCGAGTGCTAGGCAATCCCAGGCCCGCGGTTCACTGGTTTCGAGACGGCCGATCAATCTCCTTTGGCGACAGAATCTCGCTCGAGAACGACGGCACCTTGCTGCGTATCCTCGCGGTTAAGGAAACCGACGCAGGCAAATACGAGTGTTACCTGAAAAGTATCGATCACATGGTCCATCTCTTCGCGGATTTGAATGTTGTCGACTTCACGGCGCCTCGACTGCTCTTCAGACCGCAAGACATGGAGGCGGAACCGGATGCTACCGTCGAGGTACCTTGCCGGGCCGAGGGCATCCCGAAGCCAGTGATACAATGGAAGAAGGACGGTAGCGCGCTTGAAGGCAACAGGATCAAGATTATGCGTGGGGGGAGTCTTGTTATTTTTAACGTGACTCCGCAAGACTCAGGCAGGTATGTATAAGATTGGGGTAACACGGCCTTGACCACGCTGGTCGTTGGTCGTTGGTCATTGGTCATCAGACCTCTCGTTTTGCACGACAAGATTACACGAGTTATTTTTTTGAATGCGCGAAAATGATTTCTCGTCGAGATATCTCCCCTTGAAGAAGAACAATTAGTAATTCGGACAATTAATGACATTTAATGCATACATGTTGCGATTGCATTAATTTGACGATTCTATAAAATCTTTGGCTATCAAATAAAAAGTTTGATACACGATACCTCCTTATACTCCTTATACGATACAACACTGCAGTCATTTTCCTTTTACAGATACGAGTGTTCGGCTATAAACGATTACGGCCGCGCAACTGCCGATGCTTTGGTGCGCGTTCGGCAGCCCGGTGCGGCAGCGGATACACTCGTCGTACGAGCCTTCCAAAGTGCCACCGAGGAGATCGATCGTGCCATCAACAAAACGCTATCGTCTCTCTTTAATCCCGACGGCTCATCCAAACATAATCCGTTCCGGGTGGCACGGTTTCCGGACGCGATCGGTCGCGCGGCCGCCAGACCCGCCGAGCTCTTCGAGAGAACTCTCGTCAATATCCGACGTATGGTGGATGCTGGCAGTAAGGCAAACGTGACCGATGAGTTTCGTTACGAGGAAATCTTGACGCCTGAACAGGTAAACGCGCTACGTGTTCGAGTACTTACATCGAGAGCACGTTGTGTCCTAAAATAAATAATTTATACGTGTACGCGCGTCCCGTTTTAGGTCAAGGAAATTGAACGATTGTCCGGATGCACCGGCCACAGACGTCGGCAGAATTGCACCAACAGGTGCTTCCACCACAAATACCGGACCGTGGACGGCAGTTGCAATAATCTGCGCCATCGTACTTGGGGCTCGTCGCACACGGGATTTCGTAGGATTCTGCAACCCATCTACGAAAACGGTTTCTCGATGCCGGTCGGCTGGGAGAAAGGACGGCGGTACCACGGCTATCCGAAGCCCGCTGCGCGCCTCGTGTCGACCACCCTGATCTCTACTCACGATATTACGTCGGACGATCAGATCACCCACATGGTGATGCAGTGGGGTCAGTTCCTGGACCATGATCTCGATCACGCGTTACCATCGGTGTCGAGCGAGTCGTGGGACGGGATTGACTGCAAAAAATCCTGCGACAACGCCGCGCCCTGCTTCCCAATGGAAGTGCCGCCGGGTGATCCGCGCATCAACAACAGACGATGCATCGACTTCGTGAGAAGTAGCGCCGTGTGCGGTTCCGGCGCGACCAGTATACTATGGGGTGGCCTGACGCCTCGGGAACAGCTGAATCAGTTGACTAGCTACCTGGACGGATCGCAAGTCTACGGCTACGACGACGAGCTGGCGCGCGATCTGCGCGACTTGACGACGGATCGTGGATTGCTCCGGGAAGGTCCCACGCTGCCCGGTCATAAGCCTCTGCTGCCGTACGCGTCCGGCCAGTTTGTCGACTGTCGTAGGAATCCACTGGAGAGCTCGATCAACTGCTTCGTAGCCGGGGACATTCGCGCGAACGAGCAAGTTGGCTTACTGGCCATGCACACTTTATGGCTGCGCGAGCACAATCGCATCGCTCGCGCGCTACGCGAGACGAATCCACACTGGAACGGCGAGAAACTGTATCAGGAAGCGAGACGTATCGTCGGCGCTGAGATGCAACACATCACTTATCGGCACTGGCTGCCGCGAATATTTGGACCGGCAATCGACGAAACTTCTCAGCTCTGGCCGCCGTACCGGGGCTACGATCCCAACATCGACGCCAGCATATCCAACGTTTTCGCCACCGCCGCTCTACGTTTTGGACATTCGCTCATCCAGCCGCGTCTCGAGCGCCTGAACGCCTCCTACCAACCGATCCCTCAGGGTCCTCTCGATCTGCGAGACGCGTTCTTCGCGCCCTGGCGACTGGTGGAGGAAGGCGGCGTCGATCCTCTGATCAGAGGTATGTACGCCACGGCGGCGAAACTGAAGCTGCCCGAACAGAATCTCAATGTCGAGCTCACCGAACAGCTGTTCCGTACCGCGCACGCGGTTGCCCTGGATCTGGCGGCGATGAATATCCAGCGAGGAAGAGATCACGGTCTTCCCGGCTATCTAGAATGGCGCGCTTATTGCAACATGTCGCGCGTGGAGACGTTCGAGCATCTCGCCGACGATATCAGCAGCAGTCGAGTGAGACAGAAGCTGCGCGAACTCTACGGCCACCCGGGCAACATAGACGTCTGGGTCGGTGGTATTCTCGAGGATCAATTGCCGGGGATGAAAGTCGGACCGTTGTTCAAATGTCTCCTATTGGAACAATTCCGGCGGACCCGGGATGGCGATCGGTTCTGGTATGAGAATCCGAGCGCTTTTACCGCGGAACAGCTCGCACAGATCCAACAAGCGTCACTAGCCAGAATCTTGTGCGACAACGGCGACAATATTACTCGCGTGCAACCCAACGTGTTTCTACTGCCCGAAGGTCGTAATGACTTTGTCAGTTGTGACGAGATTCCTTACGTAGACTTGAGCGCGTGGTCCGATTGTTGCGACAATTGCGAGGATCATCGCGACAATACTATTTCTCGCTTGCGCGCGCGTAGGGAAGCTGAGAAATATTTTGCACCCAGTCGCGACTACGTCAAGGACATGGATTCGTTAAATCGCGACGAGAAAGTCGAATATTTGCAGAGGATGTTCGAAGAAAGTGATCGAGAGGCTAAGACATTGCGAGAGCAGGCTGACGATTTGTCGCGAAGAGTGAAAGAACTCGAGTCACTTTTAAAAGACATTGCAACACGACGATAGAAAAAGATCATCCTTTCTCTCTTATCGCGGATAGTCGCGCTCTTGCAATCTTGCATTTCAGATATACGCCATATTCTTTATGCAGTTATTACTGTTGTAAATAGAAGCATTTGCAGAAGTAGCATCGCGCGATCTTTAGACACGTTTCCTTTCCTTTAAGAGCTTTAGATTAACGCAGCTGTTACCAAGCTGTTATGCACATACGTATAATGCGTAACCCACTAATAAAACTCCTGCACTTTTTATTACGTACGTTGGATATGTACATTAGGTACACTATATACATTTATCGACATTTATAAATCAAGCTAATAACCTCTAGTTTCATTTACTAACCGATGCGAGATACTTTGTGTGTTGCCCACGAGCAACCACATCCTTACCGTCGTTCTTTGTAAGCTCCACTGCGAGGAAAGCCAATGTCTTCCCGGTACGCACAGTTTTAGCATCGACCGTCACTGTTTCACCAGGAAATGCAGCCTTCAAAAACCTGTGCCATTAATTATTCTGTTGTACGATATAAGCATTTTTGCATATTTTTTTTACTAATAAAAATTGTAAGTTACAACGTTACATTTCAAATTCAATTTCTAGTCTCTCTAACCGATGTATATCGTAGATTGCATATACATTTTTACATCAGTGCAGAGATTTAATTTATCAAAACATGCATGAAGAAAAGATTGAGAATGTGATTAGCCTAATAGAGCGTAATTTCAAATGTGTGTATAAAAATGATGAAAATATAATAAAATAAAGAAATTTGATAAAAATTTGATATCCTTACGTCACATGCAGGTCTACAGAAGCACCGGGAGGAGGTTCAGTTTTGTGAGTCATTAATGCATATGTAGATACACAGTCTATAATGGTAGTGGTAAAACCACCATGTAAAAAACCACCGAGATTTAAGTGCTCTTCCGCCACAGTAAATTGCGCTTTGCACTTTCCATCGCCAGCTGACAGTAATCTCACCTATTCAGAAATCATGCATACACAACATTAGTATCTTTATATATAATAGGAAATATAGATAACACAAAATAATTGCTAGGTTTAGAGCTAGGTATCTATAATTAGATACATAAAATATTTTGGTAAATTAAATGAAATTTCTTGTACTCACATTTTTCATACATCGACCAAAGCCTTTGCTATTCGCTATTTTCTCCAAAACAGCTTTTACAAGTTCCATTTTGCACGACATGGTCTAGGTACGCTCTTTGACTGCTTTTGACTCAATTGATATCTCTCTCACACTGTCTCACTTCAGTCACACTTTGAACCGAATAGCTATATAGTCAAGTAATTTATTTCTGTAAATAGTTTTTTTCATCTTTAAACCTTGCACGATACGCATCAGACCACGATATCGAATGTATATGTATATACAATAAACGTCAATCACGATTCACGATTTGCAAATAAAATTACATTATATACCCATATGTACGCACATACATACATATAAACAATACGACACGCATACGTGATACGTGTAAAGGCCCTTGCACAATGTCAGGCAACATAATAGAAAATAGAAACTAGAAACAGGGAATAAGTAGAGACCCTAGATCGGACAAGTGCCGTCGTGGGGTAAAACCGGATATGATGTTTTTGATGGCGGTTCATTTCGATTGTTGAATAAATATTACAAGTCGAAAAAAGAACCGGGTATCTGGGTACCCGCGATCGCGATAACTTGCGGTCACACACATTTCTGAGTTTATGCTTCATAATTATCGTCGTGTTGCATCATCTATTGTTTGAACTATTATTATTATCATTACCAGAGTTAGAAACTCGGGGAATAAATCCTAGAATGGAACGAGTGCCAATATAATTGAAAAAGAAGAATGACTTTTATACACAGGCTAAAATCTTTCTTTTTTTTTTTTAAGATTTGGAATAAAACTATAGGCTAAGATTAACTTATTGTTAGACACAAATAAAAAATGTTGTAACTTTACTTTTTGTAACTGTACTTTTGGGAGCATAAAAATTTGGAGAAAATAAAAGTTGAAAATAGCAAAATCGGAGGAAATATAAATGATTTATTTCAAAATACTTAAAGCAGTAAATAGTAAATAGTAAATAGTAAAGATGTAAAAAAATCTATCAAGAACAATTAATAGGATTACCCTGATCATCTAACAAATGATCCTGTGGATTATTGAGATATTTAGGTCCATCTCCTACTTTAGTATATATCATGTATCTAAGTTGTCCTGGTGGATACTTTTGAAGCTCTAATTTCTCCAAGATACCCTGTACAAGATAATACTTGTAATAATAAGGATAATTCATAAATGCACATATATGTTTGAATAATTAATTACTATCTATCAATTAATATGCGTGAATATATATTTAATACATGAAACACATACTTGCGAAGGCTTAATGCCTTCAACAGGTAATCCTCTTCTGTATTCAATCGTAACATTTTCAGAAGGAGGAAAAAAGTGATCTAGAACACCTATCACCGCTGATACGTCTTTCTCTAGTAAATATAACGTAGCATTCGGTCCAGCGTCGAAAGTATACGCAACCTAGCAATGTTTCATGCATATAATAAAATAAAATGTGTCTAACCATTTTTGTGCTGTAATTTATAGAAATAGAAAAATGCAAATCAAATATGAAAAATATTTCATTTACCTTCACGTCATTAACTGCATCGTTATAGGAATGTACCAGATTTATAATACTGTTGGAAATATCGTTCATATAAATACATGGAGGATACGTGTCCAGGCACACAGCATGGAACTGATTAGAATCCTTCATAGTAAGTTGGGCAAAATTTTTGAAATCCTTTTCAACGATCGCTCGTTGCATCTTATTAGCTCTTTCTGGGACTACATGCATTATTCTATGTTGCAAAAGTTGAGATGTTTCCATGCTTCGTTTCATACCTATTGCACTTGGAACCTTTTTTTGCTCATCGCTGACCTGTAAATATTTATAAGTACTTATCTCGCCTATCTTTATTATCAATATACGTAGAAAAAGGTTTCTTTTCTTACAACAAGCACTAAAATCCTCAATTCAGGCCAATGAGACGCAGGCACGATTTGCTTTGCTAAACTGTCCGTCCCGTACTTGTCTGAACCCATGTGCCATCTTACAAAACCACCTATAGTACTGCGACATGCTGATCCTGAACCGGAACGCGCTATGATGCTAATGTCTCCCTATAGAAAGATATATTTAGAGTTTAGAGTATATACAATACACAAATTATATTTTAAAATATAATAAATATATTAAACAGAAAAAATAAATTATCATACTTCTATTTTGTAAAGCTTAGCTAATGCCGCTGTAAGGCATGCATATCCTGCAGCACTGGAAGCTAAACCAGCAGCAGTTGGAAAATTATTTTTTGAACATATGTGAATCTTCCAGTCGTTTGTGTAACCAGATAATTGTGAACGTTTCCTGACTTACAAAAAAAAAGGAGAAGATTAATTTAATTTAATTCAATTAACACTGCAGCATACATTTTTAGTAAATTTTTACGCACAAACTTACTTCCTTTTAAACAATTTTGAAGCCTCGCGTTTTTTACATCTTCCTCTCTGAAAATATATCAATTTATCGCAAAGAATAAAAAGAGAATAATAATGAAAATGATACTTTCTCAACATACTTTCCATTCAGCCAAATACGATCTTCTTTGAAATCAGGACTGATCATTACAGTAGTTCTTGCATGCAACTATAAAGAAAATATGAAAAGGCTGTAACACATTGCCAAGATATCTCTAACGTGTTTACGTTCTCTCGCTCTCTTCCTCTCATTCATTTAGAATTTGGATTTAGAATTTTATATTTACCTGGTCTGTGTCTAAAGTGGCACTTATGGAATCGTTGGTTGGTAAAATTAAGAATTCATCCCTCTTTCCCCCTAAAATCATACAAATCTACGATGAAAAGTTAATTTTTACTTAAAAAAAAAAAAAAAACAGATATATGGGACTAAAGGGTAAGCCCCCGTGTGACAAATATTTCCATATTGTCATTGTAACTGTGTTTTTGCTACCACTTTTTATCCTACCGCGATAGCTATTGAAATTCAAATATTGCCGTGTGGCACGAATAGCTGCGCGAACGACGCGCGTGTAACATATTCAAGCGTTTAAAATTTTAAAAACATATGCATGATGCGATATATAATTAACATGAACTTTGAATTCCATTATTCAAATAAATCATATACACATTTTAAAAAGCGAATACCGATAGTATTTTTTTAGCTAATATATTAATTCACAAATTATGGACGTCTTTCAAAATACTAGTTGAAAATGTCCCGAAAACTTATATTATACGTTAAATTTATTAAGTAATACAAATTTACGATTTTAGATATATATTTCGGTCAAAATTTCAAAGTACAACTCGTGTGTGTGTGTGTGTACGTGAAATATAATAAAGTCAGTGAAATAAAGCTATTAGACATTTCAATTTCTCGCTGAAGAATAATAAAGCTTTTTGACTATACGTACAATATTTAATAACAGCAATGTTGACCGGTGCAATGCAGGTAACGATATTCATGATTTTCACCGCGTACCCAATAACTGTTAGCACTACCGAATACCAGCTGTTATACCACCAGCTACAGCTACAGGCTACAGAGCAGAGAACTACCAGCTGTGACTGCTGTGACCAGCTAGCAGCTACTGTGATTCTTATGTGATACCTGTCACCTGTCAGTTATTCACTTATCAGCTGCACGAATTTATACATATACTTACACGAGAAAAGCCACGTGTTATGGCCATAGACTGAAATACAACTAGATTGCTACTCCAAGAAATAAAAGTGAAGCAAATTGACTCGGGAGGAGAGAAGCCAATCATTGGCCGCGTTCAGCAGACACAACTGTTGAGTTCGTCTTATCAACACTCTGCGTTGATTGATTAGTTCTAAAAGCAAGAGCCAATCACATTCGACTGCTACTCAGCGGCTTGGTCTGCTGAACGCGCTCATTTTTAACCAGTCCAAAATCGTTATTGTCAAATTATAGAATATTCTTTTAGAGTTTGGTATTTATCAGTATTTATAAATATATTAATTATTTCACAGTGCGTTACGTATATAAATTCGCTATTATAAATATGACACTCAAAAAAATTTATCTCAACGTTATAAAAATAATATATATATAATATAGATCATATATTTAAAAAGAAAATGTAGAAACTTTTTTGCTTTCTTAAAAAAAAAAAATGGAATAATCAGAATCGCTGAATATTCCATCACGCGGACGTATCAAACACTGCGCAGGCACGAATGAGAGAGAAAGAGAGATATATATTATTCCATCTCTTTATTTATCCGATATCAAAATCGGTACTCGGCACGCAAGTGACACAAGGTCGCTCGGTCTATCTACATTATATCTGGTTCTCTTGCCTGGTAATAGCTGTAAACTGCCTTTAAAATAATGTAAGTAAATTGCAAATATATACAATTTAAAAGTATAATTAAAAATTGCCAATTAATGTTTACAGTTTTTTTTTTCGTCATGAGAATTACTATCGTCCAATATACCAAACTTCAATTGCAAATGAAACGAGATATGTATAGTTATTCATCATCAATGTTTACATTCAATAAATTCATAAACTCATCAAAATACACAGCTCTCGTCTTTATTTTTGACTGAATTATAAATAAAAAAAAAGACACAACCTTGAACACACAGTAAACGCTCCTCTCGTACAAACGCGAGGAATCGGAATAATATATATACACGTAATTTGCAATAAATATTACATCCAACGATATACTATACGTGTGCAATAAAACGAATTAATCTTTAGAAACTATGCTGGATTAGATGGTAATCCCATAGACCATGCGTCCAGCAACTTTTTGTCCTGAGGTCCAGCGCCCAAACTGAGCATTAGTCCAGAGAGATCGCCACGATGGCCTCGTCCACGCATCGCGTGAACAACTTTTGCAATGCTGCACAACAGAAACAGATATATATAAATATATAGAAATATAAACATTCTGTAAAACATTATAAATGCTGACGATTCATACTTAGCCCATTCTTCCTGAAGAGTCGTAAAGTGTGCTTTGAGAACTGAATTTCCAAGTTTTTCATTATCAAGTGATTTTTCAATCTTTATTAGTAAAGTCGGAAGTTTTGTTGGTAAAGTACCAGCCCATTTAACTATATGGGATTTTGCATTCCCAACTTTGTGTTCGTTGAGTATTATGTCTAGCCTGCATACACTCGCACAAGGTAAAGGAACTGCTACCGAGGTGTCTACACCTAAAAATTTTAACGCAATGTCGCTGTGAAATATTTTTCAATAAAAGATTATTTATAGTTATGTTTTCTAGAATAGCATGCAATACCGATAAAGTTACATGTATCCGGATCCATGTATTCCAGTGTTTGTGTTTTTACCCGTCGACACGCTCTTGGTACAAGACTGCTAAGTCCATACAAAGATTCCAATCTTTGAATCTTTGGACCTCTCACCAAGACTTGAACACCAGTTAAACAGGAATACAGCAATTGTCTAAACTGATCTTTCCCTAGTACTCGTTTCAGGTTTCGTAAAATTACAGCGGTAGATTTTTCTGCGATTTCAGAAAATTCTGACAAAAGCTCAGAGTCGTCCCAATTAAAATTAAAGTTCACTGGCAATTTTGCGTTCACTAAAGTAAAACCTTCTTCAGTTTCTGTAAATTATTTGTGACATTATGACTTCCATTAAGAAAAAGATATATTTTAATATCAATTGTTATCACAGACAGAAGAATGCTTATAATTGCTAACCAATTTGATGCTCGAAATTATAATTAAGTTCGTCATCTAATAAATTCATTGGGAAAATTTCTATAAAGTGCCTCGCCCCAGCACTCAGGATCCATACTAACCACATGTGAATTCTGAAACATATACATAACACAGTAAGATAATTAAAATATTAAAACTTTAGCAAATAATATCGTATACGATAAAACAATTGTACACGATATTATCTATCGAAATTTATATGCAGGATTTATGTAGGAACACTTACCTTACAAAAACATGCTTTTCATTTGTTATATCGCCAAGTGTTCTAGACTGTTTAATAGAAGTACTGTGGCAACCCATCCCGTTGTTCGCCGTCGTCAATCTCATTGCTCTTTGCGGACATTCCGCTTCTTCCGCATTATATCTTTTCTCCGAAAAATCTTGCAATTCTCTAATTACCTCCCTTAAATTGTCAATCAAAAATGGCCACATGTTCAACAAGAATTGTTTGTCTCTCATGAAAACAATAAAACTGCACCATCTTCTAAATCCTCTTGCCTGTGAGAAAAAAATCAATATATATATATCAGCCTGTCGATATTCCAACATAAAAACAATGGAACAAACTTGTCACAAAATCACTAGGTTTTAGCAATTTAAATAATGGCATGATTTGAAAAATTTGTTGTAAGTTGTAATAACTACCAAACATGCTTTTTCGTTGCATAATTCACCTGGGCATCTTTCAATGTAAAAGTATGACTTAAAACATGCCCTCTGTACTCATCTCCAAAGTAGCACACACCTTCCTTACCAGGGTGCACCTCGCAGCTTAGACTCCTTGAAAAAGAAACCAGTAATGAAGGAGCTTTAAAAAACTAAATCGTTATACACATTAGAAATTTAATTTATCAAAAAAATATGGAACTTAAATTTTTAATAAAATAAAATTAATATTATTTATATTAAGAATGAAATAAGTTTATAATAATTCATATAGTAATTTTTGTAATAATTTTAGTATGAAATTTGTAAACCATAAAATACACTAATTATACCTAACGCAAGCATGCTTTAGCAGGTTTCCAATATCTTGCATTAATGATTGTTGAGCAGACAAAAAAGATGTTCTTGTTTCATGCTCGTTACTTAAATACTTGACATTCCCAATGCTCTGACAGCCCTCGCACTCATCTTGTCCATCCTCCAAGGAAGCATGACCTTGTCTCAGCACTTCCTTAGGTCCATAGAATTTTAGTTTTTCTGCGTTTTGTGTATCATAGTTACGATACGTTTGCGTGGTAAATATCACTTTAGGTCCATGCATTTCACAGAAGGTGCACAGTGCAATTGCAGCATTCATTGCTTTTGAAAGACACAGGTTTCTAGGAGTTCCTTGTATTTATCTCTCTCTCTCTCTCTCTCTCTCTCTCTCTCTCATAGAGGGAGAACCCAAAAATTATTTATTATGATTCTTCACATGATCCTAGATTGTTTATATAAATTAAGTAGCCTAAAAGTATATTCATAGGTATTCATGGGGGTATTCAACAATCTGTACCGCATGTATGTATATAATAATGAATAGAATTACAAAATTACATTTGTTACAGCAATATTGCAATATTATATTTCTCAAAATATATTAATAACTTAATGGTTATACGGTACAAAATATGTATTACTAGACATTCGCAGAATGCAATTCACATGAACATAATTACAATTTATGGTTTGCAAAATTTACAACATAACCTCTGTCGAAATACTTTTACAACACGTAACCCTCTTATTTACCTGCTTCTTCGTAAGTTGCTCAGCAAGTCTTTACGACGAAGTTAATTTTTTTCATCCTTTTCACGTGATAAAACAAAAATGAAGTCGTGGTAGAGACACGTGACATTATGATAGCTAATCTCGAATCTCGACATTGGTCCACGCAGTGACAGGCAACACACATATGTCACGTGTGTGTATGAACGAAACTAAATTTATGCATTTGCATGACGGGTTGTCAATTGGGAGGGGCTGTATATCAAAGTAATCCAATAATTTGTACAATCAATAATATAAATTATATATTGCATTATACAATTCTTAAGAATATGTAATTTTACTAGGATAGAAAAGGTTAAGAAGAAAGAAAATGTTCTTTTTTCTTTTATACATCAAGTTCGTAGCCAAATTTCAATTTGACACCTTCATAAGCAGCTCTCATCCATATACCCACAGCATGTGCTCCAGGATCTGGATATTTGAATATCTATAACGTAACATACATGAATCATAATTCTATCTCAAGTCTAAATATACATATACATCCATATGATGTGTACAATACATCATACAACTAAGTAATACCTTGCAATTCGCAGAATCAACAGAGAAAGATCCTGACATATGCACAGTTTGCATAGCAAATGTTTCGGCGGCTTTGACAGCTTCTCCAAATGCACTGACAGGACTTGAACCAGAATTTAATGCGTCTCTCAGTTTATTTTCCGCAGGTATCAAAGCATCCAACATAGTTCGATCACCACGTGACGTTCCACTAAACTCAGACATCATTTTGTTTGCAGATGTTAAAGCAGTTAACCACATATTGGCAGTCATTTGCTCGTCATTTCGAAACTTGAGAAAACTCTAAAATATTTCTCAAACGTTCTCTTCTCAGTCTTAACGATGAAACAAGATTGTACTATTGATATAATCTTACTTTAGCAGCAGTATCAAAAAATAACGAGTACATTCCACCTTCTAAGCCACCCATGTCTTTTTCAATAATGTGGCTGATTTGTATAAATGTTATAGAGGGTTTCGTTGCTGAAATTCTCCCTTCCTGTAACATAATGAAATATAATATAATATGATATTTATGATTATTAACCAAAAGAAAAATATAGATTTTATACTTCACTTCATTGCCATTTACAACCTTGATTGCTAATTTTATGGCATTGGCACTACGCGCGAGGATGGTTCCATACGTTCCATCGCCGCATTCTTCATCCATTATATCGAGTTGTCTTGCACACGCTATTAAGGCTTCGCATGCAAATGTTAAAACTGTAAGAAATGCCGGACCATTCTGAGACTGTATCTTCGGTCCTGTATCAGATGTACATGTACTATTCTCATGTGCCGTCTGCAAATGAAAACTCGTGTCAGAAGTAAAAAAAATGCAGGAGTAAAAATATATAAATGATTTATAATTGCACTTATAATATATATAGCAAAATATATAATTTATTGACTATTCATAACTTGAAATTTATAATTGTAATATAGACTATTGACAATTAAATAAATTTCAACTAATTACCTGAGAATTTTGCTCTCCCACGTTATGTGGCATTTCGACATTTTTCATCACGAGCTCAAGAATTTTATTTCTCTATGAAATTACCCTGTACCTAACCTAAACCTGTACAAATGACAACTGACACAGGTATAGAACAGTGGTTTATTCTTATTTATAAATGGGCGCTTTCAGCAGACCAAGCCGCTGAGTAGCGGTCGAACGTGATTGGGTCTTACTTTTAGAACCAACCAATCAACGCAAAGTGTTAATAAGACGAACTCAACAGTTGTGTCTGCTGAATGCGGCCAATGAGCGTGACTACCGTATGGCCGGCACTGCGAAACATGGCCGCGTTCAGCAGACACAACTGTTGAGTTCATCTTATCAAAACTCTCCGTTGATTGGTTGGTTCTAAAAGTAAGAGCCAATCACGTTCGACTGCTACTCAGCAGTTTGGTCTGCTGAACGCGGCCAATATGGCGATTTACGATAAGATTTTCATGGGCTCAAATGTTTGCGCATCATGCGCTTACGAAAATTGCATGCATAACGAATAGAAGAGTAATGAAAAAATGAATTGGTTATAACATTATTGCGAATTTAAAGTATTATTGCGCTAGATAAAAATGTTGTATTTATCTGATATGTAATATGATGAAACGATATATATCTCGTTATGTACGCACTACATCTAAATATCTGAAAATATTATAATATTAATTAATATGAAATAAAACTTTATAACTACATATGTATATTATATTCAATTTATAATTATAATATTAAAAGAAATAAAATTATATATCACGATTGTACAATTAAATAGAAAAATTGGGATATAATGCTATATTTTTTCTCTATAATTATAATTGTTTAAATATTTGTACTATAATTAGTACGTGCGTTATAAGAGAGCGATAGAAATAAAATACAACCTGAGAAATGTTGTTGTACGTATAAAGACGTAATTTATTCATGATCGTGTAAAATTCAGCTGCACATGACTGAATTTTATTTCACACTACATGACGACTACTCTCACGAACTGCGCTTTGTCAGACGCGTAATATTGTGGCATTTAAATTGTCGCTAATCGAAGACTCCGACAGATACGTAACAATGCGAGGAAGAAACAATTTAACTTGCCATAATATAACAATTCGATGAGCGAGCTCCGCAACAGATATTGCATCACCGAGTGCGAGCTGCAACTCGACAAGTAACAATATGACGATTCTCTTACATATTATCAGTCTACAAATTTATACTAAATCTTCGCGCTTACGTAAAAGTCAAACACAAATCGTCGTAACAAATACCCGCAACATTATGTCACGCACTCACGCGATTATTGCATGCAATATATACAACATTTTCTAAGATAAAAAATTCATCAACCTCACGCAGGATTCATACCGCACAGGTTTGGATCTTTTGCTCGTACTTATGTTAGCCCTATTTTGGTATTTGGTACGCATTTGGTACATATACTGGGTTACGCGCCCTCGATTCTTCGATGTACGTTTAAAACTTAACCAGAAGTCTTGATCAGGAATCTTTTAACGACTGGGTTTACATATTCGCGCGTATCTTCCGTCATTCCACTTATTGTCTACCGAAAGTTTCGCGAAACTTTGCTGCGCTGTTGTTTCAAAGCTTCTATATAAAAACGTTGAACCATATTCTGCACCGTATTCTTATGAAAATTGAGCAATTCTAACAATAGAGCAACAATAAACAAGTATCATTTTGTAGAAACATGACTCATTAACAAATGCAATATAAACAATCGTTATTAAACCATTTGGATTATTAACGGTATTTAATTGCTACTATATGCGTACGCGTGTATGTACATACGCAGATGTACTGACTTATATCGCTTTATCACATGTGACGATGTGATGTGATGTGATCACGTAGAGGACGCGCGTATTATCTATTACATATATACATACAATGTTATGTACGTTCATCGGAAGATATTTTAACTGGTAATTTGACAGGTACTTGCCGATACATGTATAGAATTCACATCTGAGATTTATATTTAACACTGTCTTACCAATTTTCAAACTTGGTCAGATTTCATATGACGATTTCTTAAGACGTGATATTCGGCGATATATCGGTTAATTTGCGTAGCACTTATTTGGGCTGCCAAATTATTTTCCACCGGTAGTACAAGTTCTCAACGAGGAACATATATCTTAGCTTTTCGAATACACAATATCTCAGAGTGACTTGGTGATATTGTTAAACAATCGTTTGCCCCACCAAGATTCCAAATCAAACGGTTTAAAGTCTGCAACAATTTATTTATGTTTTGCCATTTATTTTGTACAATCAATTACAGTAGGTGATATAAGGTTATATTAATTCTTTTGAAAAACTAATGAATTACTCTTGGGATATCAATTTGATTTTAATCTAATATAGTTGCAAATAGGAACGTCGCGCTTACCTTGAAGATTATCATTTGGTTCACCGTCATTGTAATATACTATAGAATCCTTAGGACCTAGTAAACAAAACATTAAATTATGACCTAGAATGTCTTTCTTTTTTAATAAATATAAATAATGGGTTCGAGAATACGCGCGCGTGTATGTGTGTGTCAATGCACAAGTGATTACTTCATGACTCATTAACGATATTATGATTATAGTAGGGGAACGCGGGGTAGCCCCATTGTTTAAAGTTTAAGCATTCTACATATATGTCGAGATATGCAGAAGGGCATATTAGAATAACTTTAGTTTGTCGTATATATCGCTACTTACTGCAAAGTTCTGCACATTCTGTGCCATCGCAACATTCGCTTCTTTGCCGCGTATTAACTTGATTCCATGCTGTTAAAAATAATAAACAAATAAAAATAATTAATTTTGCTCAACATTGGAAAAAATTCATAAGCACACAGGATATACGATATCTGTGACTTTTTCCTCGACTAAAGTTTCACGTTCTCAGCCTCTTTCATACTTGGCAAAATTTATGGTTTTTGCATTCAACGCCTTTCATACCTTGATACCAGACTAATTCTATACGCTTTATTTCACACGTGTGCAGAATGCTTTTCTACCTACATTCGTAAATAAATTTGATAAGTTCCTCGTGCTGTGGCGTGATAACTTCTTGCATCTGATGTCGCTGCGAGATGAACTTAGATTTCCCATTCATATGGAACACCGGCTTTGGTACATGACTGCGAGCGTGAAATATATGTGAGTATAGAAGCCTTATTGCAGACAATAGTAATAGTAAGCAAAATAGTTGTTTTTCGTCACGCGTTGTTACACAAATGCAATCTTACGCAATACGCGGTGGAATGTTAAGGAACAAGATTATTTGTCGCAGGAAATATTAGGCAAAATCAATTTCAATAGATATTTGCATCGCGTTTCATTAGACATGCTCCATTAAGAGTTTCAATGACACGCATCAATATGACATCAAACGATGAGTTATGTTAATAGTTTTGACGATTTTGCGGGACGAATTATGATGAATTGCGTAATGTCGAAAGCAACGGCGGCGGCAGCGGCGGCGACGGCGGCGGAGGCGGAGGCGGCGGAGGTGGAGGCGACGAAGGAGAAGGAGTAACGTGAAAAAGCGGCGTCGAGAAAGGGGTTAGATCATCTTTTCTCCCCCCCACCCTCTCTCTCTTTCTCTTTCTCACCGGGTGATCTCGTGGTCGTCTTCAATGTCGGTCTTCCTCGTCAGATCGCGAAGAGTTTCCAATCTTTCGAGATTCTGACTGATCCCTGCAAAAAGCGAGAATTTAAATATTCGCGAGTTCTAGAGCAGTCCACCGATGCTGATGGTCTAGATTTTCTAGAACTAGACTCTAGGCCTAGACCACCCACGACCGTCGTCTGCAGGGCCGGGCGGCATCGGACATTTGAGAAATCCAAATTTAGTACCTCGTCGAGTTTTCGCTACGATCTTGCTAGGTCCCTTTGACACGGTATACATGATCCTCGTCCTCAGATAAGCGCGGAAGCCTCTTTACGCGAGCGCAATGCCAGATCATCCGCGCGATCAATCGTCACGCCTGCCGCGTGTTCACGAGCGAATCGTTGCCGGGTGCAACAAACTGCCGAATATGCCGATAGCGAAGTAAAAGCGATGCTGAACTTGAAGCTGAGGCCCGGCAATATTCCCCCGGCTTACCACCGCTCGGCGCTCATCACAGATCACAGATCACAGCTCACCAGAGTCTGACCAGTACTCACCACCACGACACGACCGTACCGTACGACTTAACGAGAGTTACGAAATCGCTGATCAGCGCAGCTCATGACGATGAACTGCACTAACCACGACGTCCACGACCACGCGACCAAAGAAGTGGGAGTGGGAGACGAAAAACTAATGGAAGGGGATACTCTTGCTCCAAAGTCTCCTCAAACTCAAACTCAAAATTTATCGATACTCGTCGTCAATCAGTCGTCAATGCTGGCGATCCTACCTGCTGCTGTCTATGCGGTAAGGTAGAGGAAACATTTTTCTCCCATTTCTGCAAACCTCCTATAAAAATCATTCTCGCTACTTGTGTCTTTAATTTTTACATTTTTAATGAGTTGAGAGAGAGAAAGAGAGAAAGAGAGAGAGTTAAAAGCGTTGCACACCCGGTTGTTTTCAAAATAATGCAAATTGTAAGTTTGACATTTGAAAACGTAGTGCGGAGAGACAGAAAAACATAGAAACGTGAAAGAAACGTTGGTTGTGATGCACAGTTTTATTCTCTGCGTAAGTGAAGAGTACAGATTAACTCCTTATTAACTGCAAGTTCAGTTAATATAGGCACCGCAGGTGTACTTGTTTCTTTAGCCATCTATTTGCATTAAGTATGCATAAATACAGTAAAAAGCAAACGTATCAAGATAGGAAGTATACAGTACTAAATGTTAGGGCAATCGATAAAATCCTAAGGAATTAAGTTTTTAAAAAAAAAACAAGAGTTTTTTTTTCATCCTTCCTCGGAGCTGTAAACACAGGATGTCAAAGAATCTCTAAATCACCAATGTTACTGCTGCGTTTATAATAATTTCAGAATATATTACTCATTTATAATATTATTACACGTAAACTGCAGTAATAATAGCAGTAATAATAAATTCATGCGCTACTAATTTATATTAATCTACAATAGTAAAGTCTCCTACAAAGTCTCTACGATAGTAGGAATTACAATAGTAAAAATAATAATAAATCTGTAAAATGTATCTCTGTATATATGTAGAATGTCAAACAGCTGAGACAAAATTTACTTCAACATAGAAAAATAGTTTGTCAATATGTAGATAAGATCGATTATTCAATTGGATATTCGTCCAGATATCCATGTATTAATCCGAAAATTTCATCTAATTGCGATTTCACGCTCGATTCGCGACTTTGAGACAAAATTTATTCGTAATAAAAAACCTGTTGCGATATAATCTGGATTATTTCCGTGGACGCATTATCGTCTATGTACAGATGTTAACTAATCCTTAACATGCTATTATTACGTGATAGACAATTATAATGATTCGTAGAACAACTTTAAAGCAACTTATCTACATTACGTGTGTATATGACCACAATTTTGTAACTGAAACGATATCTCAAACGTGATTGCATAGGATCAGTTACCTTATATTAAGTACGTACAAGCACAAAGCATTTTTCATGTGTGTACTTTTTCCTCTCTCGTCTTTGTGTTTCTATCTTATTTCAGCCCCTTATGTTAAAAATACAAATCCATGGTTTAAATTGTCGACGATATCGGGGGCGTGATTTAATCGGAGGGAAAAATCGTAGGCACGTGCCGTTTAAAGTAACACGGCAGTCCCGTAATAAATTTAACCTCCCATTTTTACAACAGACATTTTTAAGGTACTTAAAGAGCGAATAAAGATTTGTCTTGATCTTTGTTAATTTGGCGCTGAATGTTCTGGTTACCGGTAGTCGAAGACGTCGAGGTGGCAGTTGTTGTGGCTGTAGGGAGTGTTGGTAAAGCTTCAGCCGCGGCTGCACGTTCCGCTAAGAAGCGCTCAAATTCTGACGATGTTAAGGATTCTTGATCCCCTTGCCCTCCAGGCCCTCCAGGCCCTCCAGGCTGCAATACAACAAGCAAACGGTTGTTCGACACTGACATTCTTGTAAAAAAAAATTTTTTTTTTTTTTTAACACCAACTCGTAATTTCTTAAACTTATGCGTTATGATTTTGAAGATTTGCTCGCTAACGAATATTTATAAAATTTATTTAAGCCTGTACATGAATATACTTACTGTGCGATCTAACCAGGCTGCCATTTCATTGAATTCAGATTCCATGTTCGGCTGAGTATATAAAAACAAACACAAACATTGAACGAAACGACAAAAAAAATATAAACGATATGTTATAATGCGCAATTGACGCAAATAAAATCCAACAGTAACATAATCAAAATTAACAACTTTCATGCCTTTAGAAGCAATGTGCAATTGTGATAACGAACATTTAATGCGCATAAGCACGATCTAGTAAGGAGATTACTATACCTTGAGACCTTTTAGTCACATGTATGTAACTAAATGTGAAATATTGGAGATATTGGTAACATCGACAACATTAATTTACATAGAGCATTAGCGCATGCAGTGTTTAAAATTAGCATCAAGATGAATCATAGAAATCGAATGTTTGTGTTCAACTTTGTGTTATACTTTGTGTTTGTGTTATACTTTGTGGTTATAGAAAGGAGTATTTCAGAAAAATGTGTTTGTAAGAAAAGATTGCGAATGAGTAATGACCAGTTTTTCCTAACAATTAGTTTAAGAAGGAGATGATGTTACGCACACTAGCACTAGTAGTGGTCTGTTGAGGTAATTTAGGATTGTTGCGGTTGAGAATTGCCGTGCTTAGACTCCCTCCTTTCACCTGCTCCAAATTATCCTCATACTTGCTGCCGCTGTAATTTGAAAAAAAAAAATCTTGAAATATTATTGAATAAAATTAGTCTATAAACATATATTGAAATAAATATATATCCTGACGTGATTAGTTTCCAAATAATTAAAATTGAAAGAAAATATATCATAACCTGTGCATATCTTTTACTAATTGTGAGCCACATAAAGATTACTCTATTGAAATAATTTTAATGATCTCCTGTTATTACAAACGACGAAATTTTAATCATCTAATATACCTATTTTTTGTTGTTTCGTACGTTGCATTACGCGATTGCGCAAACATATCAAATTCATCACTATCCCCTTCTTTTTTTTCCTTTTGTCGTGTGGTTTTGTCGTGTGGTGCTACAGCTTCAGCGGCATCTATTATTTAAAATACAACAGAATAGTATCAATCTTGCATTATGTACAATTCTACATTAGATTTATATAACTTTGGCTTACCGAGTTCACTCATCCGCTTTGTCAAATTATCCACATCGTCAGATAAATCTATAAGTGATTCCGCTTCTCGTTTAGTAAGAGTTGGAGTCGATTCAGCGTTCGGTGGATGCGCAATCGTCTGAGCTAATATAGCACTTGCCGGTACTTGCATTTTATTCTTCGTATAACGTGTATAACGAAGAAACAGATTGTTTAATTCGTCATTAATGCGTAATAATTCAGCTGTCATTTCATCGTGAGCCAATTTACCGATCAAATCGACGACACGCTCTTGCATTGCCTTACATGTCGAATGAAGCTCCTGCAAAATAATCATTTACACATTTTAAGACGTACAATTTATATACTGGAATTTGCAAAAGAAATTCTACAAAATAAAGAAAAAATACATGTGAATGAAAACAAGACAAAATTTTATAAATAAGTAAATTTATAAGAGACAAAAGATATATATAAGATTCCTACGTTCAATAATTCAAGATCCGCAGAATCTGGTTGTTGCTTGCTACTTTGGTCTGGACTTGTAAAGTACGCCAACATTTCCGATAATACGCGCATATTTCCTTGAACAACATCAAGTTCACTTTGTAATTTGGCCAATTGTTGTTCGCTCAATTGAGTTAACTGACCAATAGACTGCGACGTTTGAGAAGGTAAGTTTTGCGTTCCCAAAGACGCAGGCTGCTCACTCGTAGCGAGGCTCGCTGGAATTTGCTCCGTTTCAGGTACACTCTATAAAAACATTGGAAAAAAAGAAAAAATTATTTTTAAAGATAGAACGGTTTTAGGAGGCGTGGTTTTGTCTAAAAATGTATCTAGCATCTCACTCTTTCTGGGGTGATAATTGGGGCCATAGCATCCAGATCGGTCATCGGGAACTGTATGCCCTTTATCTTTAATTCTTGATAAACCTGCACAACGCCTTGAGTGTGCGGCTGATGACGGAATGTATCTGCCCAAGTTTGGATTAAACTTAAAACTTTCTCTTGAACTGCTGTAGGTGGTTCATTTTTGGGACCGATTAATTTTACTAGATCTTGCACAAACTCTCTCGAACAAGCAAGAGCATGAAAACGTTTTCCACAATTCTTCACACATGTCTCCAACACCTATTACATACAAATGACATTCGTGTAGCTACTTGTATTAAGTTAAATTGAATTAATGAACATAAATATGCTCATTGTCGCAATTATTTGTATTGTCGCATAAAGATTATTATATCGCGATATTCACAGTACGTTGATCAAGAACATAAGAGAAAGATTGTCGTACTTGTCATAAATAATAAATATAATAATATACAACGGCTAATTCAATTGACACTAATGGTATAAATAGTCTAAACTTGTAAAGGTCGAAACTGTGAAATGCGGGCACTTGATCAAAGCACTTGCTTATTATGTTCAATCGTAACAAAGATACATGTGGCTGACGCATCAAATTATTTGAATTACTTGATGAGATTATTTGTAAAGCAAAAAACTAGATATGCATTTCGCCTAATTGGATATAATTCTATATAAGCTATATAAACGATGTATCATTACAGTCTGTAATACTAACGGTAAGCGTATACATGACTATGGTATAATTTTTGCCCGCCGCCTGATTGAGTCTGCGTTTGATAGCTTTAATAGCATCTTTCGGCCCATCCTCGGTTTCGTTTATAATATCACATATCTCCATGTTAAGCGTCCAATTTTCGCTGGGTAAGCTACCATCTGTAGCAGACTCTGAAAGCAGACAAGAGAAACCCTGAAGACTCGCTGCGAGCGTAGTACAGATCCCGCTATTCAGAGCTATCTGATGATGCACGCTAGGCGCTATATCGGTCGTAATTAAATAAATCCATCAAGATAAAAAGTAAATTTCGCGCGATTTCGATTACGTAGTTGGAAATTGTCGTCAAGCCCGAGACTGACCTCACTGACCGAGAGACCGATTTCTAATATCTCGGCGAAACGATAAAAGATAAACGACAAGCGATGACGCGACAAATATGAATAAGATTCAGTCAGCGCACTCACCGATCTTTTGTCCTACTTGCGTAGAAAAGGGATTGCCTACTCCAAAAAGTGACATTTTTTCTCGGAGCACGTAGGACCGACGTTGTTAACTGACGTGTTTTCTGCCGTTCGCACCCACTCGCATACGTATACGTGCTCGATGATCGCTGACAAGTGTCACAGGGATGACAATTTGCGCACCCTGACAATTTGTCAATTTCGCGTGTGAGACTGACTCAGACAGCTCAGACTGACACTACTGACAGAATCATATGACCTACGCACAACCTATGCAACTACTGCAACGGTAAAGGCGGACCGAGGCCGAGGCAGACGAGGCGGACGTCGAATCGCAAATGTCACGAAAGCGCGCGGCCGCCAATCAGCGACGCGTCCCGACGGCCCGACGCCCGAATCCGATCAGCGATCAACCCGATGCCCGATCAGCCCGCGATGTTGCGTCTTGCGCGTCTTGCACCTTGGTCACTTGGACAGCTTATTGGGCTTGGGCGATATATGCATAGGGATAGACGCGAAATGCTTTTACACTTCCCGACTCCCGACGGCACTTTCCGTCCTCAAAACGAACGCTATATCGACCGCGCGATTTTCACAACGATAGACTATCATCTAGTCTCTCGCGAGAGGCTTCTGGAGCCTTCAGCCGTTCAGCCCGCTTCAGCCTCTGCGCTAAACGCACGGCAAACGCGCTGAAGCGCAAAACGAATGATTTTACAACGCAGTTTTAGCTCGGTATCCCGTCATTCCCGTCCTGGCCGTCTCGATCAGTCTCGATTCTCGAATCGACGAATGCGAGTATTGCGAGTGCAAGTGCACGCTGCTGCACGCGCAATCGCGTTTGCAGTGTTTGCACTCGAATCACTCACGGTGCACGTGCACTATACTAACTGGGCCGGCCCTTTTCTTTTCGAAACAAATTAATCGAACTAATCGAACTAGTAAAAGATTACGATATACTTTTATGCAGAAATTATTTTGCTAGGTTGCTAAAAAAAAAATTTATCTTATTTTGCAGTGTCAATGTAATCCGCGATATCGAATCCCTTCATGACATCGGCAGAACATTTTATTAGTCTTATAACAATAACAAGTGCAAAGAAATTAGCTACTGTGCTTGTTATCTGTTTTATTATATATCATGGTGTCATACATCTTATTTATGGTATGTACTTATGCAATGTATACCTACATACTCTGGAAACTTCTACAAATTATCCAAATAAACAATAACCAATAAACGATAAAATTTATTATTGAAAGATAACAATCTTGCAATGTTATATTTCGCGCATCTTTTATTTTTTAATTCTGATAATGTAAATAATTTGATTATTGGCACAAATAGATTATTACTGATCATTTTTACAGGTAGCGATTCTTGCAAATGGTTATTGACAGAAGGCAGATACAAAGGAGACAAAGAATGGCAACCATACGGATGCATGATGCACCATTATACACAAACGTAAGATTATTATTTTTATAATTTACTTCAGAGAGAAAGAGAGAGAGATTAACTTTTTTATCAAAAAGATTCATTTAACTTTACAGAGACAGCAGAAGATGTATGAGATATCTAGCTTTCATGGGCCACCATAATCATTTTGTATTTGCTGGCGATGCTAGAATAAGGCAATTATATAAATCTTTCGTTTCGCAATTTATGATTGATGGCAAAGCATCCGATCTCACAGAGCTGCCAGAAAACTCCGACTTGGGTTTCAACGACGGACAACTTAAATTAAACGTACAATTTTTGTGGAGACCTCGACTCGACAATTCTATGATAGCAGACCTTAGAGGCTGGATGGTAACGTGCACACATTATATATCATACAGTAAATAAATATGTACGTAGAGAAATGAACAAAATTGGAGGAACAAATACTAAAATTTATATATTTTATATCTTTGATGTTGTAGAAAACAGATGCACCTAGCGTAATTGTCACTGGCTCTGCCGCAGCTGCAATTCTTGCAAACAATAACAGCGATACGCAGCTTTATTCGGAATACAATACAGGTTTGATTCGATTGGTACAGCCAATAGACTTTTTGGCTAAGAAGGGATCTCAATTTCTATGGCTCTTACAAGATCCTGTGCTCAAGGAAAGACTGCCTGTACAATTGTTGAGTTTAGACAACAAACAGATTAACTTGTGCAATAAAGCAGCCGAGAAGGTAACATGATATGTGTATTTACCTAAACGTGTATGTGCGTATGTATGTATATAAAAGGCAAAAGATAAATATTCTGTAATCACCACATACAGATATTGTCTCATAGTGAGGCTCGTATATGGCAAAGCAGTAAATTAGTTGGTACGGGTGTTCTTGAACAAAGTCCAGATGGTTATTTGGCGAGTCCATTGTCACTTCGTCATAAAGTTCAAATACTATTAAATACATACTGCAACGATCATATGAATTTCGACGATGGCAGTTGTTGCAGTTATCCCGAGTCGGCAACCACTCTACAATTGTTAAGTCTGTCTGCGCTTGCATTATTGTAATTAAGTATTGTATTTAATTTCTAATGCGCTTTTAGAGAGAGAGATAGAGAGATTGCAAGATTTCTAATGCTCTTTTATTATATTCAGTTTAACAATAGGTGGAGGAGTATGGCTGTACAGAAAATTGTGCAAATATCGTTCCGAGGTATCCTATTCTCACGTTACCACCGAAGAAGTACAAGATATGGAAGAAGCAAGTACTTCGGAGGTCATTCAAGTTAAGCAGCCAGAGATACAAGATTTCTATATTCTCGTTACATCACTGGCCCTCTTTTCTATTATATTAGCATATTTCTACTTGTGTGACAGGTAAGTAATCGCTTGACGAGATTTGTAATTTTGTCTTTATATTGCAATAGCTTTAATAATTATTTGTTTTCTTGCATCACTTGTAGAACAAACTTTTTCATGAAGGAGAATAAGTATTACAGTGAGTTCAGTTTTTGGTTACCACTCGGCTATATCTTAGCTCTTGGATTATTTTTCACCGAGGATCGCGAAAGAGGGCCGAGAGTGTTAAACAGAGAACAAACGGACGAATGGAGAGGTTTAATGCAAGCAGTTGTACTCATCTACCATGTCACCGGTGCCAAAAATGTCTTGCCGATCTACATGTATTTAAGATTGATTAATTCTGCCTACTTATTCCTGTCTGGATATGGACACTTTTATTACTTTTGGCAAACTGGCGACGTGTCTCTTGTCAGATTTGCCAGAGTAAGTATTAGAAAAGAGTTTCATAATGCATAAATTTAAATCATTAAATAATAGCATTTTCACTTAGAATCAAATTTGTTTGCTGTGTTTCAGGTCATGTTTAGATTAAACTTGTTGACAGTATCCTTATGCCTTTGCATGAACAGGCCGTATCAATTTTATCATTTCGTACCGTTGGTGTCGTTCTGGTTTCTAGTGATTTACTTTCTAGCTTGGTTACCACCCAGAATATATTCTGGAAGTTTGGCAGAATACGGACCGAGAGCCTTGCTGTATTTCGCTCTAAAACTCTTGGGTCTCGTATCGATAATTACTATACTATACATGTCGGAGGTAATAAGCAACTTCTATTGGAGAATACTTTTTTTTTTGTAATTGCAAAATATAACGCGTTTTATCAGCGCAGGTGTTTTTTGAAAAAGTTTTTGTCACGAGACCCTGGAAAGCATTATTCGTGACGACTGATGACGACATCCGCGAATGGTGGTCTCGTTGGAGAGTGGACAGATACAGCGTAGTCTGGGGCTTGACTTTCGGTGCTGCTCTTGTCGCTCTTCAGAGAATAGATCACATTCCTGGCACCGCCTTATCTTCCGTACTGGCACTGGTCTCCTTAATAGCGTATACTACTTTTACGATTCTGTGTCATTCTGTATCAGAGTGCGAGGAAATTCATTCTTACGTCGCGTTTATCCCGGTAAATTACTGTAATTTCTTTATTATTACTTATTCTTTTATCACATTTCTCTTATCAACTTTATAAAAATTTCTCATTTATTAACTTTTTTTATTACTATTTCATTATCAATGTTACTCGTTGTTAGATTATAGGATACATCGCTCTCCGAAACGCGTCATTGGCATTACGGGGGAAACACTCTGCACTTTTAGCTGGATTGGGTAGAATAAGTTTGGAAACTTTGGTGGCTCAAGGTCATATATGGTTGGCGGCAGATTCGCACGGAGTACTTGTACTATTACCCAGATTCCCAGTATTGAATCTGTTGGTTACGTCGTTCATTTTTATCTGTGCCAGTCATGAAGTAAGTAAAACAGATTATTTCTTACATTAACGGGAAATAAAAATTGTAATTTTAATGACAGTTATAGAACAAAAATTATTTGTTCTTATGGAGATTCTATCTTCTAGATTCATAGATTGACGCGCGTTTTGACACCCTATGCAGTACCGAATGATTGGAAACTAGTAGCACGCAATTTGTTGCTCTTTATAGCTGTGTTGGTACCTATCGGCATTCACGATGGAATGTTTTAAAAAATTGTCTGTGAATACCATTCTCGTACATAAAAATCAAAGATATTAGCAGTATTAATATATACGAAGCAAACTTTATATATCGTAGGCCAAATTGAAGAAAAGATTAATTAAATAAGTAAATAGATGTTTATTATGCTTTTTTTTACAATAAAACATGATAAAAAATAAAAAAATACACATGTATTTCAAAGATTATTGTGTAAAATAACATTTTTTTACAATTTTTTTTAAGAATTATTTCCAACTCGATTAAAAAGTGATGATTGGCGTTTTGTCCGTTTATTTATTTGTACGTTTTATATCTTATATTTTACGCAATTTGCATTTGCATAATTTTATAAAATTATTCTACTTCATAGCTTAATAAATATACATACAATGCACGTACGTAGCAAGGGAAGTTTTCAGGGAACTGACGAAGCAAAGTTCTATTTCATTTGTTACCTAAATTGTATTTATAATTTTGTAAACTATCTCGCTAAGTAAAATAACATTATCTATTAGCTGTTTGGATATCGTATTTCACATGGCTGGTATACACGTCATAACCGAGAGATATCATACTATCGTAAAAGACTCTGTATCGCGTGGGAAGGAAATAAAAGTTAATGACTTGCGCTGGAGGCCATATGACCCATTCGGCTACATATAGTTTATGCGCCTTCCTTCTAATTTCATCCTTAAATTCTGCTAAACTGTTGTTCTCCAATAAAGCCAGTGTTAAAAAAAATGTGCTTATACAAAGAGGCGAGCAAATCAGTTGATCTACAATCACTTTTTTTAGAACTATACCAATGGTGCGTCCAGCCATTCTAGTATCTAGAAAATTATACCAGTAATGACAAACTATCCCGATAGACATGCCGGACACAGACATATTTCTTGTTCTGGTGAAGCACCATTTGTCCCATTCGCCCTAAAGAATCACAGGATAAAACAAGTAATGATAGGATCGTAACAAATTTGACGAGAAAGCCTGCAGTTAAGGAATACCTTTAATATTTCATAGTGTTGCTCCACAACATCTCCTATGCCAGAAAGAGAAACCGATATCCCGATATTTGTGTACAATAAATTTTTAGGAGAGAATAAGCGTTCCCTTAGGTGATTTATTCTACCAAAAGTTGGCCTCATTCCTCTCGCAATATTCATTGCCTAAAATAGAAAACGTCATTATTGGTTACCGCACTACTTAAATCGTACTTATTGTTAGTAATATTGGTAACCTTATTAACCTTACAACCAATCTCGTTGAAGCTTAACTAACAACTAAGCTTATGTAACAATTAAGTACCCAAAGGTAAATGGTATCGTTTATTTAAAACCTTGCTTTTTTAAATTTATTTTACCATGCACGCGAAATGCACAATTAAATATCATAACATGTCAGAGTTAGTATTAGAATATACTACTTTTACATTATCCGAGAATAGGACATATCGATCAAGGTTATTTAACATCCATAAAATGTAAGCTTATCGCTTAATCGCTCATCAATCGATGGTGACCAACATAACCTGGTATTTATTGCAATAGAAACCATGTGCGCCCGCGTTAATTAAAAGAATGACCGAATTAAATTGTTGCATAATTGTTTATTAGGTTAGGATCGCGTTGTATGCATATATTTTTGGAACAAGGAATATAGATTAATAGATGTATAATCTCCAGGATCGGCAGAATCGAATAGATCGACGGATGGGTTCGCGGGTTCGCCAGGGGGCCGAGTGCAAAGTGGGTAGTCGAACATGATTGGTTCTCTTGTCTCCAAATGCCAGATGATCCAACGAATCATCGAGGGTGCGTTCCTTTTGGGCGCTCACGCGCTCACACGCGCTGTAAGCATCATTCTATCTTCGTTGCACATCGAATATCAAACGAAGATAGAGCGATGCTTACAGCGCGTGAGCGCCCAAAAAGAACGCAGCCCGAGTCTCGCATCTCGCATCTCGCATCCGTCGTCATCGGCGCCACCATCGGAGCCATCAGCTGATTAACGGTCTAGTCTAGCGTTAGCAGCGTTGTTCGCGCCAACGACTCCAACGATCTGTAAAAAGGCGGGCTTTCGCGAGACTCAGACGGCAGACGGTGCATCTTCTAAGATAGTAGATAATAATATACCTGCCTGTGGCCAGCGGCACGTCTGCGATCGGTATATAACGTCATACGTAAAGGGCTATGTCGCAGCCATCAGTGACGGCATACTTTAATACGCGCAAACGGCAGGCGTGCGACGAGTTACGCGGTAAGTCCAAGATTTTGCTACTGGAGCGAGACAACCAAGTGCAGACAGTTATCGACAATTCGGAGCGAGCCGCGTTGTCTTTCTCAAACGAGGCAAGTACCGTAAGTACGAGTACGGGATCCAGTCCGAAAATCGTGTGGAAGGACGCGAAGGATGCTGTCGCGAATTCGAAGGAAGCCGTTCAGGCCAACAAGGCGGTCCGCAATATCCAGTTCGATTCTTCGAAAGCGATCCCCGAGAAGACCTGTACCAGCAGACCTAAAGCGCGAGCCGTTCGTTCTCGCTCTCGCTCTCGCACCGTACTTTCGACACCCTCCTCGGACGGAAGCCAGCCAGACATCAGAGATAGCTTTTTGAAGGTGGGAAGCGATCCAGAGGCCAAGAAAGTTCCCTTCGAGAAGAAAGGCACGCTTAGTCCGAAGAAGAAGCCACAGACGCCCAAGAAAGCTTCTGCCTTGTCTGCCTTGATCTCATCAAGGGATAACACGACGAAAGAAGATGATTGTGACAAGGAACAACCTGCCAGCGGTTCTCTCACTCCACCGTCGTCAAAGAAGCTTTCAACGATGGAAAGACTTGCGAGAAGTGAAAATTTAAGCTTGACTGACATCAAAAATAGAATCGCCAAGTCTCCCAGATTGACAGAACTGAAAGCCATAACGCGACGACTCGCCAATTGCGATCGGGCATTGGAACAATTGCAAAAACAGGATGCGATTAAGAAACCTCAAATGCAAAAGTTTGAGAAGGTGGAACTTGAAATTCCAGTAAGGTGAGGATCATATATATATATATATATGTATAATTTATTTATCAAATATACCCTAACATTTGCTTTTTTCTCACATATCAAGTCCACAAAAGGCGTACAAATCTCCAACCAAGGGATTATTGACTCCAACGAAGAATAGAGATCTCTTAAAGACGGTCAGTCCCCAGAGGCGAATTTTGTTTGAGCCTAAAGAAACCACGCCAAGTCTAGGGAACTCCAGTCCTGTTAAGGCATATCAAAAATATCTCTCTCTGGCTGAAAGCGAAATACCTGGATTGGCATTGCCCTATACCTATAGATTCCTAGCTGAAATATTCAGATGTGTAGATACGGTACTATCCTTGTAAATCTTTTAATACTTTTACTTAAAATTCTGTAGATTCTTATATTCTGTGTCGTTAATGTGGCTTAAATTTGTATTTGCGATAAAATGTTGAGCGTTAAATTTTGTCTGTAGGTTTCAGCAATGCTGTTTAATAGAAAGGAATTGATAACATTCAATAAACTTAAACCTGCGGTTCAAGAATTGCTACGTCGTAATTTTACACAGGAGCATCTAGCTCAAATAAAAACTATTTACCCTGATGCTTATACTTATCATCAAGAGAAGCATCGAAATTTTGGTTCGGTCTCCAAGCAAGAAAAATATGAATTGGTTCTAACACCTGTAGTTGAAACAATTAATGGCAGAAATACGCCTGATGCGGATGACATATTGAAAACTGCGTCTGAAAATAGTATGAGCCCCACGATATTGCTGGAAAGAAGGAAGAAATTTTACAACGCTTTATTAGGTGCGTATTATTCTTTTGAAATAATTTTATGTGTAATCTTGTTATCAAATGTAATTACTAATTACATCCATATATCTTTAAATGTATTTTTTTGTTGTTGTAGAGAGAGTAAAGGATGAACATGAGAAATTTTTGTTAAGCCTTAAAACACCGAGATTAATGAATATACCGAGAGAGAAAATAGTACGCTGGCATCCTGAGTTTGATGTGGAGTCTTGTAAGAAAATTGAGCAAGCTGTATTACCGCAACCACCTTATGTTGAAAAACAAACCGCTAGAGATGTTCTTGGTAAGAATTATAACACATTGGTGATAGTGATAGGAATTTTAATTTTATATGGAAAAAAAAATTTTTATTGCTATTACAAGAAGCTACTATTGTAATTTATGTGCACAATGCCAGAAAAGTATTTAAAAAAGTATAAGATGTCAGAATAATACAAAAACTGGGGAGTATATAGCTATATTATACATGTGCGTATACGTACACACATTGTCAGTGATATAATATAGTCTTAATCTGGATGACGACTTTAAGTGGGCCAAAAAATTGCACAAGAGGACTAAATAACTGCGTTTGCGTAATTGTGAAACTTGGTTTTTATTGAGCTGTTGCAAAACTTTATTGATTAATCAGCAATAACGTAACGCAATCGGTATAAAGGTACTGCTTACGCGTAATACTTGAGCAGTTATATTATGCATCCTCGCATTATGCGGCACTACTCAACCCGATTCTTAATTAATAAATTAATTGTAGAAAATGGATTTAAAGTATCGCTTCAAAAGGGTCAAGTTATTCGTAGAATATGTAGGTTTCTCTTCTTTATTAATATGCCTGACAAAACAGCTGTAAAATATTTTTATATGATATTCCATTTGTTATTCATCCGTTTTAATTATTATTATTTTTTTTCAGACAAAGCTAAATCTATGTTTAATTGTGGTACACGTATGGAGAAAGCATTGCAAAGGCTCGTTGAAGCAAACCTAACTTCCAGATCCACACAAGATTCTACAACCCAAACAACAGAAGATGGTGTTCCGAAGGTTAACATTACCATTGTGGACACTCCACCAAGTACGCCATCCGTACAAACTGATCATCTCAGTACACTATTCAAGGGCATTCCCAAGGCTCTACTCGAGAAGGTAAAAACAATCGCTTTAGGATACCGGCTGACTCATTTATTACGATATCATGTCATATCATGTTTTAAGAATATACATATAATTGCTCTCTTTTGAATTATAATGATAATTGCAGGTTCGTGCTAAACAAGCAGCCAAGGCATTAGAAGCAATGACGAGAACACCCAATGCAGATAAAGAAGCTGCACTATACTCCAGACTTCCCGAATTAGCGAAGCTTGTTCGCAATATTTTCGTGGCGGAAAAAAAGGGCGTTTTACCAATGGAGATGGTGATACAAAAATTGGACAATTCTTTCAGAACGAAACTAACGTTATACGAAATGGAGGAGCATATACGAAAACTGTGCAAGCTCTTACCTACGTGGGCCAGTATACATAATGTACGAAAGGTGGATTATTTGAAATTAGATAAAAATGTTGAACTTGCTAAAGTGATTAAGCAATTGGAAATTTTGGCCAATGATAAAGTCAAGACAGCGTCCTAATTTGTATATTCCGATATGTATTATATTTCGAATATCTGCATTTTCACCTAATAGAAACTATTATGCTATTTAAGTTGGAAACGTTTAATTTTGCATACTTACGTCTATATCGTAATAAAAAGATCACTGTACAATGCATCTTATTATATATATAATTTATGACATTACCATTTGTTTTTCATGCTTCACAAAGCATTTTTAATAAATATAATTATTATATAAAACTATGAAGTATGAAATAAAATGTAATAAATGAGAATATGTACTACATTCTATATTATAATTTACTTTTCCTATTAATACGAAGCTACTTTCAGAGAAATGTCAATGTAAATTTGTTATGTCTGAGGAATTACAGTTGAATCATGTAAGAAGTCCCCTAAATTTCTTAAGCAAAATTGCTGACGATGTATGCATTGCCTTTGATATGTTTATTAATAAAGCTATTGAAAAATAACTATATAATTTGTATATACCTACATGTCTATACATATACACATAATTTTATTTAAATATATATGTTTGTCAATGTAACATTTAAACTTAATTTATACTCATCATTTGTATAGTTTATTTTTATATGATCATTAATATGGTCTTCTTAATGTACATACGTAATATTTCATTGTATTTTATAAACATTTAAATATAATAATACGTATATGTATAAAATACAATATAGCCTATCTTGTATCAATCAAGTTTTCTTATCGATACATTTTTTAAAATGCAAAAAAGATGAATAGATCATTGCATTATCTGTAATTGTTAAAGAAGATTCATCACGCAATTTACAGCTATTACAGTGATCTTATGTATCGACATATTTTGGACGTCATGAA